GGGGTTGTCCCCCAAGAAAATTTTGAAATTTGGTTGTATTTGGAGCGAATTTGCAACCATCTGGTACGCCTGTGCGTTATGAGTCAATAAGAAAAATGTGAATTTTTTTCAAATTCTTTTGGGGGTGTCAAAGAGGATGAGAGCGTAGCTAGCCCATTTTGCGAGTGTACGCCCGTATGATCGATTTCCCGGTTTTATCAAAATTAACAAAACGATGGTTCCATAAAATAGGAAGATCCCGGGTGTTCAGAAGATAGAGGACACACTAAACACTCTTAATTCAATGAAGGAAATATGTATTGTTTGGTCATTTTGACATAGCTTTTTAAAGGGATTGAATTAACTGTATTAACAGATAATGAAATATTATTATTTTTTCTGTGTTTGTTTTTATCTAGCTCACAAGATGATTAACAATAAAAGAACAGTTACAAGACCGTCTCAACTCCATTTCGGATCTTAACAACCTGTATGTGATTCTATAGAATAAATTCTATCTTTCTGTTTTTTTGCATTTGCCAACATGTCAATAACAGTATCAATGTTTATATCCTGTTCCCTATGGATATGTATCATGGCCAAGGAAGAAAGTCTTTCCTCGTTCATTGTGGAACGCAAGTATGACTTAATGCGTTTCAAACTGCTAAAAACTCAACTGAAACGAAATAAAATTCTCTAAATATCAGTAGCTAACTGATTCAAAACAAAGAAAATGAAATAATCGAGAACTTTTTATTTATTAACACGAGTCTTCATAGATCTCCTATCGATTTCTATCTCTTGGTAAAACATTTATTTTTCATCACAATTAATCAGGTAAATTTCATTTTCCCTTAAAATTTGAGAGTACGCCTGGGCGTACTTGGCGTACACGTAGCTACGCCACTACTTCAGAAGTGGGGTGGGGTGCCAGTAGGGGAGTGAGGGGTTGTCCCCTAGAAACATTGACCATATCAAGGTGCTATTTGATGATGTCTGGGCACTTAAAAAATATCTGAGACAATACATGAAATTCAGAATATTTTCTTTTGTTTTGTGGGGGATGTGAGGGGTGGCTAACTCTCCTAGAAAATTTTACAATTTAAAGATGATATTTGGTGCTTCTGGGCACTTTTAAAGTGTATTAGTCAATAAAAACATTGAAAAACAATCACAATTTTTTTCAAATTTTGGGGTTGTCAAAGGGGGGAGGGGTGCCAGAGGGGGAGGTGGGACTGGGGTGCCAGAGGGGGAGCAAGTGTTTGTCCCCCATATCAAAATTTACAATATCAAGGTGCTATTCGATGAAGTTTGGGCACTTAAAAAGTGTCTGTGCCTAAAAGTTCCTATTTCCCAAGAAAATTTTACAATTTTAAGATGCTATTTGGTGCTTTCTGGGCACTTTCAAAGGGTATGAGCCTCTGCCAGAGGGGGAGGTGGAGTGGGGATGCCAGAGGGCGAGTAAGTGTTAGTCTTCCAGAATCATTAACTTTATCAAGGAGCTATTTGAAGATGTCTGGGCAATTTAAAAGTGTCTGAGACAATACATAAAACAAATTCAAAACGTTTCCATTGTTTTGTTTGGGTTGTGAGGGGTGAACCACTCCCACTAGAAAATTTTACAATTTTACGACGCTATTTGGTGCTTTCTGGGCACTTTCAAAGTGTATGTGTCAATTAAAGAATTTGAGAAAATCACAATTTTTTTTGGGGGGGGGATCAAGGGGGGGGGGGGGCGCCATGCGGCCAGAGGGGGGGGTTATGCAAGTGCAAGATGCAAGAGGGGGAGTAAGTCCCCCAGAAACACTAACTATATCAAGGAGCTATTTGATGATATCTGGGCACTTTAAAAGTGTCTGAGACAAAACTCTAAAATAAATTTAGAACTTTTCCATTGTTTTATGGGGGGGTGTGAGGGGTGGCCAATACCCCTAGAAAATTTTACAATTTTAAGATGCTATTTGGTGCTTTCTGGGTACTTTCAAAGTGCATGAGTCAATGAAAAAAAATTACAAAAAAAATATTTTTCAAAAAAAAAAAAATTCAAATTTTTTTTTTTTTGAAAAATATTTCAAATTTATTTTGGGGGGTGACAAAGGGGGGTGCGGTCGCACCCATCGCACCCCCCCCCCATCTGACGGCCCTGAAGTTGCTTACATTTCTCAGATGCATGGACATCTAAAGTGCATGGTATTAACAAGGGACAGTTTATAGCTAACTCAATAAAATATACAGTATTAAAAAACAAAGGGATCCTCTATCACACAAAGAGCAGTATACTAAATTGTTAACTCGTTCAGATGCACGGACATGAAAATGCATGTTATTAACAAGGATACTACTGGGTACGGGCAACGCAAAGAGTAATATAATACGTTGCAAATTCATTCAGATGCACGAGAAATTATAACCGCTTAGTAATGTGACGAAACACATTGATGATGTTCATATATTGTTATATAAATACGCTTTTATCTAGAAATCAAATATTACTTATATAATGATGTATTTATTTATACTTCCATTATTATTTACACATGTTTTATATTTCTTTCAGACGCTGGTTGTTCATCTTCACATATTACATGTTTTTCTACAACGTCTTCTTGGGATTGTTTTCTGCTCTGAAGCGGATATTGTTTTCAGTATTGTTCGGGACCCTCTTCATGAGTAGAATGGACATAGCTTCATTGTCTCGATTCTTTGAAAGAAAGGATCCGGGTGTGTTTACCATTTCGTTTTTGTTCAACTTTTTAAGGTTTGGCTTTAAGAGTCGCCTTTTTCGAGACATTTAACATTACGAACCCCTGGGTAGATCCTTACGTTACTAGCCTCCCTAATTTATGACTACTAACAGATGTTGCATCACGGTCTATTTCGCCAAATAAATGAGTAATTTAAACATATGCAATAATGAACTGAGACTAAAAAAGAAGTAAATTGTCGTTCTTTCGTGATACGAATATATAGTCTGATAATATAACCTTATATGGGGTTGCTGAACAAGCCAAGCTAGGCACTGTGTCGATTAACCATGATCGAGGTCGTGAGTTCGAGACACATGGGCATCCTGCGATTATTCATTTAACTTTTCTGATATGTTTAGGTTTCTCGTCCTACCTTGGGCTCCTGTACGTTGAACATTGCCACAACCACCCCATTTTGGTGACATTCTGTAACATCCTCATCGACGATCACAACCGGAAGTACCATAAAGGGAGATACGCCTCGAAAGCCATTAGAGGTATAAGCCAATTTCTGACATATTTAAAGGAATATTCCTTGCCAAACCATCTCTCTCCTCATATGGTAGCTATAACCATATATATGCTTGCCATGTTTAGCAAAACAAGCAAAAATGTTTTGATATGGTCTTTGATCACTTAGAAATGTGATGCTCAATTCCAGTAAGCTGCCATCTTTTAAAATTTCACACAGGAAGTGATGTCATCGACTCTCAACTTTGCATATAGCATTAGGTGAGGAGCTATTAAGAATACCAAAACCAGCTAAATATTCTTTTTCAACTTTGTATCTTATTTAATCCTTCTGAAAATCTCTTCTTTTATTCTAAGTTGACAAGCCCTGAAAATATTTTTGCACAGAAAGTAATGATCACTTGTCTAGAAGTGATTTTGTGCTACTTTCCTATACTGTTATGGGCAAGGTTATAGAAGTTGAGAGTTGATGACATCACTTCCTTCAAGAAATCTTAAAAGATGGCAGCTCACTGGAAATAAGCACTAGAATTCTAAATGATCAATATTGACCATATTCAAACATTTTCCCATGTTTTGCTAAATATGGAAACTGTATGATTATGGCTACCATATCAAGAGAGATAGGGTCTGGCAAGGAATATTCCTTTAAAGCGCTAGATACACTCAACAGTTTTTAACACAATGCCTGAAACAAGTGTGTACGGGAATTCTCTTACCTTTCTTGATAAACAGGCTAAGCCTGGGTTAACTTTTTTAATTTTCTTCCAGACGAGGACACTATTGATGTAAAGATAAAATGCCAACATGGTAAATACCGAGATTTCAAAGACCAGAAGTCATGGCGATCTTTCAAACGCGCTCAAATGCGCTGGCAATTAGTACTTACACTGATGCGTGCGCCGATTCTTCAATACAATCGGGAACAAGCGATAATTGCCGAAGCAGAATCCGAGAGAAGGCGCGAGATTGCAGAAAAAAGTGAATTAAACTTACAAAATGGAAGACAACATGGGTTCAATGATATGAAATACCAGCCAACGACAATTGCCAACCATCACACTATCTTGAATGTAGGGGACTTGGACAACGTTGATTCTCACAAAATGAACGTCTATATCTAACCCACATGATACTCAAAAGGAACAAATTACATTCCTCTAAACTTACCTCAAAGGAATGTATTTTGTATTTTTATATGATGTTTTAATCGGAATTTAGTTAATGCTCATTATATATAATATGATTCAACCATCGTTTGTTATGCAACGTATATTTTAAAAACGAGGATAAGATACAGGGTAATATGGACATAAAGAATTACGTAGTATGTTTTCAAAGAAATTTTAAAATTGTACTTATTTGACGTACTATTTTAGTACTCGGCATATCTACTTGTATAATAAGGAACTTTCTTCTCGGAGTAAAACCGAAACATTCCGTTGATATCTCTACGAAGGAAGAAGTCTCTAAATAGTACACCTTAGAAGGGAAGAGTAAATTGTGAGGTTTTAGGCTTTTTGATTGATAACATTTATGTTTGGAAATACTGTTTTACGTCAAAATATAGGAATACCAATGGGGACAGATTGTGGTCCTCTCTTGGCAGACCTTTTTCTATTCTCGTATGAATATAAGTTTTTGCAAAAGATGATGAAAGATAAGACAAAATTCCACATAGCTAAACTTTTTAATAAAACATATAGGTATATAAATGACCTGTTGAGTTCGGGCAACCCTGGATTTGAAGATTTTGTAAATGAGATATACCCTTCCGAGTTAAATAAGACCAATGAATCGAACATGAATGCGCCTTATCTTGACCTTCTCATTAACACTGAACAAGACAACAGTATATATTTTAAGTTGTATGATAAACGAGATGATTTCAACTTTGATATTGTGAATTTTCCCCATTTAGACAGTGATATTCCATTAATCCCAGCATATGGGGTCTATGTATCCCAGCTTATTAGGTATGGCAGGGCATGCTCAATATAATGTAGGAATTGTTTAAGACATTAGCGCTGAACTCACAATCTTTTCACTTGGCACCTTTTGAGGTGGATCCCGGCTATGGCATTAATGGTTGAGAAATAGGGATTGAAACCAGCCATAGTTTTCTCCTGATGACCATTGTGAATTATTGTGTTTCATGGATTATGGCGTCGGCTTTTGTGAATGGATGTTGACCCTTTGAAACGCCTATGGACTTGGAGACTGGATTTTATCTATCCCACATCATTTGAGACTGAATGCTCTCTCTTGTATGAGTACTTGTATCTACAACTATTTTTGATGTTATGAGTATTGGCTATCAATTTCTAATTTTTTCTTCAACATGTATTGTAATGACTGCAGTATTAATGAAATGGCCCTTGGTGTTCTGGTCTTGGATCGTCACATCGGCTCTTGAATGGTGGGGGGAAGGGGGTATTAGACATTGTTTCTTTTCACGTTACATCATGGTTTTGGGATATATGGGGTTTGTTTTTCTTGACTGGTATGCACTTAGAGTTTGCTTTTTCTTCCTAAGTTCCATTACAACTTTTGGTCCTTTCCCTTTGGCACATGTGCTTAGATATTGCAATACAACAAATACTTACAATGTACATTAACAAATAATAATTGTCATTTTATTTTAACATTTCTTATAGCGTCTGTATAATATTGGTGTCTACATGATATATCCGCATCTGTATTATTTAAACATGTGATAATTAAATGTCTATATGTTCTTGACTAAAATAAATATATATTAAAAAAATTTAGTCTGTATAGTAATGTCTTTATAACAAACATTTACAAGTACTTATCTTTCTTTTTTCAATGTCTTATCTATTAAATACACTATCGTATCCACATGAACTAATAACCGTTTATGTATCAACAATCTATCGTCTTCTAATCAATAAACTGAATCAATCAATTCAAGTCACATCGGCAACAAGGATGTACTTATTTCTCTCTGCTAGATACACTAACGTCAGTACACTCGTTGTCTGTGCTCCATTAACACTCAGTAAAAATTCATGTACAATAAAATGTTATATTTTAGTAAATTTTTGACGATTCTCTGGTGGAACTTCTCTGCCCTTTGTTCTATCAAGATAGCCAGAAATTGTGTTAACATCAATTTTCGAGCCCTGTATTCTGCTCACCTTTGTTTTTGGAGTTTGTTTCGCTTTGACTCACTACAAAGCTTTGTGTGTTCGTTTGTCTTCTGTATGCTGTTTTCTTTTTACAAAATAACTCTAGCAGCGAATCACGAAATTTTTTTCCACTCAGGCAGCACATGACGAACAAAGTAATGAAGGGGATGAATGAAGCGACGGTCGCATCAACCCAAGGCCAAAAGGTTCGATAAAATTCCTCAAATCCCTTCAAGTAGGCGTAATTGAATTGGATTTCCTAAAAGAGGCTAGTGAAATTTTGCTGTCTCACTGTAAAGAACCAATGATAGCCCATGAGATCAACCCAACGATGAAAAATGTAACAAGGCATATAACAATCATAGTTTCCCTCTTGGTACAGATCGACTTTGCTCTCAGGGGCAAGTAGACGAAGATGATTCTATCAATTGTAACACAGACCAACATCCAGGCAGATAGGTCAATAAACATATAGGTGGAAAACACATGGATTTTGCATGTCCATTCATGTGTGGCCCTGATATCATAAGTGAACATGTTACGAGACCAGGCAAAGCATTTTCACTAAGAGTTCTTACTTCAGACATTTAACTGAAACTGTGGACCCCTGACCGCCATTGGATTCAACAGTTCCTTTGGTTTGGAAAAATTGTTTGATTTGGATTTCATAACAGAAAGCTCAATGCAACCATTTATTAAAGTTTCAACAATTAGTACTGGGGGCCATTCAACGATCATCGACCAGTGTCAAAATATATTTAAGTTTGGATATTTCATCAAGACTAACATATATTTTTATTATCTACAAAGAAACCCCCTGGATGAACATTATTTTAGCTGATATTCCCCTTGAAACGTGATGGATCTTAAAAATCTATAGGTGGGACTCCCTTTATAGAAGCATTGAACTGAATTTACACTTCTCAATGCTGAAATTGATAGTTTTTCCATACATTTTAAGAAAATAGGTATGTCAAAGAAGATGTTAACCCAAATATTGACCTGATAGCTCAGAAAAAAAAATTGAATATTCTCTCTTCAGTCCTTGTTGTTCCTTTAACGCACATTCCCTAAAAGCAACGTAATTCAGTGCAATGTCTACTGAGAAAGATATTAGTGCCATGGCACTAATAATCTTGTTTTTCTCACTAGTATCAGATTCAGCTGACACAAGCTGTACATTAACAGTTAAATGTGAAGTATTGCATTTGTGAAATTTCAAGACATAGGCTATAATACATTCATACAGGCTGATTTTGTCTTACATTCTTATGATCATAGTGGAATACATGTATAATAGTGCGATTAAACCGAATAACCAAACCGAAAACTGAACCGAGGGATTCAAAACCAAACCAAATTGAAAATTTTGAAACAGTATGACCCCTATTTGTACTACATGCAATTTAATGAATATGTCTTGGTTAAAGGAGTATTCCTTGCCAAACCATCTCTCTCCTCATATGGTAGCTATAACCATATATATGCTTGCCATGTTTAGCAAAACACGCAAAAATGTTTTGATATGGTCAAATTTGATCACTTAGAAATGTGATGCTCAATTCCAGTAAGCTGTCATCTTTTAAAATTTCACCCAGGAAGTGATGTCATCGACTCTCAACTTTGCATATAGCATTAGGTGAGGAGCTATTAAGAATAACAAAACCAGCTAAATATTCTTTTTCAACTTTGTATCTTATTTAATCCTTCTGAAAATCTCTTCTTTTATTTTAAGTTGACAAGCCCTGAAAATATTTTTGCACAGAAAGTAATGATCACTTGTCTAGAAGTGATTTTGTGCTACTTTCCTATACTGTTATGGGCAAGGTTATAGAAGTTGAGAGTTGATGACATCACTTCCTGCATGAAATCTTAAAAGATGGCAGCTCACTGGAAATAAGCACTAGATTTTTAAATGATCAATATTGACCATATTAAAACATTTTCCCATGTTTTGCTAAATATGGAAACTATATATGATTATAGCTACCATATCAAGAGAGAAAGGGTCTGGCAGGGAATATTCCTTTAATAATGTGGAAGTAATTGCATTCTGGAGATTTTAAGTTTTTTTTTATCATTTGTGCATATCATTTTTTTACCTTGATAGTCTTAGATTTCATCTGTAAGTAGGCTTCTAATGTATATTCAGTGAAAATGGTTTAAAAGTTTTTTAGGTTCGCTTTAGGTAGCTCTAGATATTTTTGGGTTCGCTTTAGGTAAGTCTAAACATTTTAAAAGATTTTTTAGGTTCACATTAGGTTCGAACCTATAGTGAACCTAGAATTTCACATTTTTTTAACAGTGTTATAGGTAGTGTTAGGTTCGAACCTGAAGTGGACCTACTTTTTGTAGGTTCATTTAGGTGGCTGACAAACTATTATAATGACCCCAGAGTCGGGGCTGAATATTATAATAACTAGACTGGGGAAATTGAATAAGTTCAATTTCAGACTCCAGATGACAGATTTGTTTTTAGTTATAGATAGATAGAGATAAGATTAGATAGATAGGTAAGGAACATCAATTATCGAATTGATAAATAGATAAATAGATCAATTTTCAATATTTTTTTCAGTACTCTTAACTTTCTAGAAGGATACCATCAGATCGATCTTTCTCGGATTTTCAAAACGTCACAACTTCCGCACCGGAGTCGTATCGCAATTTTGTTTGCAGATTCTGATTCTTGAGAAAATTCTACCCTTATTTCATATCTCACACATTAGATTTGGAGAATTTTTTATTTTGACCTACTTTCCGGACACCATATCTCAGAAACGGGTCAAAATTCTTTCTGAGGGCAAAGGCAATCACTATAAACCTAATTTAAGCTATCAATATACCAAATTTTGAAGAATGTTTTGAAAATATAGTGTCAGAATTGCAAAAATAAGAAAAAACTATGAATTTGAAATAGATTTTGACCTAGGCATTTTGGTGACCTAATTTTAAATCTAGGTGGCTTTTGGGGTTCCCTTGTTTGAAGGGTTTCATTATATTAATCTATTAAATTATCTATATCTCTGTTTTTACAATTCATAAAAATCTTTTTTTCCCATTGAGTTAACATGGGGCACCAAATTTAGCGATTTTTGAGCTTTCAAAACGCAATTACTTCTGAACCGGAGGTGAAATCAAAATTTGGTTTGCAGATTTGGATTCCTGGGAAAATTCTACCCTTAATTCATAACTCATAGGTTAAATTTATAGACTTATTTATTTTGACCTACTTTTGGACACCATATCTCAAAAGTGGATCGAAATACTTTCTGACGGCAAAAAGCTAGCACTATAAGCACACTATTTGCTACCTGTATACAAATTTTTGAAGCAAATCATTTAAATGTAGTGTCGGAATTGCAAAAATGAGAATAAACTATGAATTTGACCTAGATTTTGATCAAGGGATTTTGGTGTCCAAATTTTGAAGTTAAGTAGCCTTCGAGGTCCCCTTCTTTCATAGGCTTTCATTATTTTAAGCTGTACTCAGTCTATATCTCGTATTTTACACTTCAAAAAAATCTTTTTTCCCATTGACATAACATGGGGCACCAAATTTAGCGATTTTTAAGCTTTCAAAATGTCATAATTTCCGAACCGGAAGTGGGATCGAAATTTGGTTTGCAGATTCGGATTTCTGAGAAAATTCTATACTTAATTCATAACTCAAATGTTAAATTTGGAGAATTTTTTATTTTGACCTACTTTTCGGACACCATATCTCAAAAGTGGGGCAAAATACTTTCTGACGGCAAAAGGCTAACCCTATTAACACATTATTGGCTACATGTATACAAAATTTCGAAGAATATAATTAAAGTGTTGTGTCAGAATTGCAAAAATAATGAAAAACTTTGAATTTGACCTAGATTTTGACCTAGGCCCTGGACTGGATTTAGACCTAGACTTGACATGGACCTGGACCAACACTGGACTTGGACCTGGACTGGACCTTGACTTGGACCTTGAAATGGACTGGACTGGTACTTTTTCAATTTTTTCACTTTTCTTGACTTTCTATACCTTGACTTTTTCTATAAGGGTACCATCAGATCGATTTTTCTCCAACTTTCAAAACGTCATAACTCTTGAACCGGAAGTCGGATTTTAATTCGGTTTTCATATTCGGAATCCTGAGAAAATTTCCTATAAGGCTCATACCCTGGACATTGAATTTTGGACCTCGTTTTCGGACACTGATATCTCGAAATCGGTTCGAAATATCAAAAATCTAAATCGTTCTGACGTTTTTTACTTTTTTATGAGGAACACAATGAAAAAAAACCGGATCAAAAATATTGAAGGACGACCGAGATAATGGGAAAAAGTGACAAAGTACTGGATTTGACCTAGTTCTTGACCTTTGACCTAGATAAAAATTTGACCCCATTTCTTACCAACTAGACATAGTACCTTGATTAACCATATAATAGTCTTCATTGAATACTTTATAGTTGTTGAGAAATCATCCAGAGTATAATAAGAAAGAAAGAAAGAAAGAAAGAAAGAAAGAAAGAAAGAAAGAAAGAAAGAATAAGAATAAAGAAAAGAGGCAAAAACAATAGACTCCAGATTTTCATCTGGAGTCTAATAATAAAAATGATTGTTCATGTGCTTTTGCTGTAAGATGGGATCAGAAGCAGCTTAATGTGTGCAGAATAAAAAAAGAAACACAATGTTTTAGTATCAAAAATCTATTTGAAGATCAAACTTAGGTGAAATTTCAGTTTACAAATGTTAAGATATAATGTGGGGAGAATTAAGTCCAATAAATCAATCTTACCAATCCTTCATTCATGCTGTTTCAAGATTTTCTCTAGCAAGGTATTTTCTGGCTCCAGTTCCAGTAGCATGTGCTTCTTAAATTGATAAAACATGGGCCACTCGTTAGGCTATATCATTGGTCAGAATTTGGTCACATGACCAGATCTGAGCCAATGAGAAAATAGTAAAATGAAATATGAAACTAAACCGGAAGTGAATAATCCAGCAGAGTTGGAAAAAGTAAGAAATTCATGAAAAGTAAAATATGTTTTAAAAGACTCAAATCTCCCTCTATACACTTAAATAACATGATTAAACATCAATAAAGCATCAGGATCAAGTTCAGTAAGTACTAAAAACAATATTTAAACAAAGGAATGACCGGAGGTCATTACACTATGTAACTCACTTATAGGTTCGCTTTAGAGCTCTTTAGGTTCGAACCTACATTCCCTACTGAAAGGCTTTGATGGCTTCTATTAAATCTCGTGTATCCCTTGCTTCTTCATCTCTTTTACAATTATGTGTAGATTTTGGCATTTCCTGAGTCGATTTAACACCCCCATTGGGCCACTCGCGCCGTGCAGTTTTTACTGTCGATTAAGAGTTCCTCCCCATTTTCTGTAATTGATTGAGGAATGACGCCTATATCTATTTTGTTAAATTCGAAATGTCCCGATTTTTTATTCAACCCCTATGATTCGCCTACCACCAGTGATTTGTCTGCATGTTTTACGATATTGTGATTTATTACATCTTCGAAATTATAAAGTGTGAATATTTGGATTCTGACATCGCCTGACACAAGTAAAATGCCCTTGTTTCTATCTACTCTTAGGTATATGTCATGTTATCACTATCACTTTGTTACGTCGAAGTAAAATAATTTGACAGAATGAATGATCTATTCCAACAAATTTTCCAAATATACTATCTGACCAATGTTCTATTTAAATAAAAGCCGTATTGTCAAAATGGAGGTGTAAATCAATATAACTTACCTTAAATTCCACTTTAAAGTTGCTCATAGGATGGAAATACATGGCGTCTGCTGAAAATCTTACAATATGCAAAGTTACTCACTCACCGATCAACGTGTATGCTTAATTTATAGCCATTTTATTGAATCATCGGTATACTGATTAAAGCCATATTACTTGTGCTTGAAAAAAATACACCAAAGTAGGTATATAAAGGATTTATTAAAACCCCATAGAGAGTTTTGTGCTACTAGGCATGATGGTTAAACGCCTGCTGTGTTATATAACCAACCTTCAGTACACCTTAGCAATATTGATCGCTCAAAACCTGGTTTAACGATGGTCATCTTTCACCTTACATGAACAAATGGAAATTACTCAGTAACCAGTGTTTAAAGAACAGCCAGCTGTTTTCTTCAGTATAAGACACCGAGAGGAAAGGAGCCTCACTACCCGAAGGAGAGGCTGCTTCTACATATTTTGATACAAAAGAGTATTTGATCGTCATTCAAATTTAATTCAGGTATGTACATATAGGCTGTTTTGTAATGTGAAAATAGGCATTAAGGTTTTGTGTATTTTAGGTTAAACACGTTGAAGGTGTAGTCCAACGACATTAAACCTAGCATGGGGCCTCGCTTCTTATCTGATATGTCTTATGGCCCCGACTAGACCAAGAAAATTTCTAATAGTAAAGAAAGCCGTTATTGAGTTTAACGACGTTGAACTATGGAAAATGTTGAATATCTAGCTAGGCGAAGTATGAAGCTGGTTAACAAGCCATTCATCCCGAGGTCTAATAAGTACACATACTTTACATAATTCAATTTGTTCTTTTTCATTTGTTACATACTGGAGACTGAATCGAAAGTATGTATGTATTTTGATGTTATTTAGATTATGATTTACATTGATTTGCTTCGTGTACATTTACTTCTTGTTTAATACTTGGTTTTGGTATGCAAGCTTGCATTCCAAAATCAAGTATTAAACATAATAATTTGGCAGTCCTTTGACACGCGGAACAAATTGGGCAAATGGGCTATTCATTGCAAACAATTTAACTCTAAGTTGCCTGTACCCTTTGCATTCGTTCGACGTCACTTCTTAAAAGGGAGCTTCGTCATATAACTAGACTCTGCGCAATTGATATCCAAACCATTATTAGTACTGTATGTAATATTGATCAATGAGTGATGTATGAATAGATTATGTCTCACTATACGATACCTATATATTAAGGCAAGCTTTTCATTATTGCATATTGCATAATCAATAGGTATATGACCATGTATACTACTACTCTTTGCATTCGTTCGACTTCACTTTTCAAAAGAGCTTCGTTTTCCTGACTAGAGTCTGCAGTCTGCGCGCAGGGTAGTATACCACTGTAATGATGTCGCCTTTCTCTTCCGAAAGATGTCATAGTAGCATGGCTCAGGTTTGAATATTGGAGAATTTGAAGTGGATCGTTAACTCTCAAAATTGAACTGAATTAATATTTAGTTGCTTGACCACAGGCCATCTTCATCCATCAAGGTATCATTACTGAATGAATACACTGGTTTAACAGTATGCCACAAGGGGGTTGATATGACAATGGAAGGTGCTGCCTCCTTTAAATGACATAAAGAACTAACAAATCAGGGGACAACTTGTATACAGGAATCCAACACAGTAATTAGTCCAGAGAACCTCCTGTTACATGAAATGAATACACAGAATACGCGACGAATAGAAAATAGTGACAAATATACGTAGGCCTTTTTTCATCATATTTGGTAGAAGGATGTTTTGTATTTCATTTCATGTAACACATCAATTCGAATTATTTCTAGCACAATTGAAAGAAAGTTTTATTTTAGACCTTAATTTTCGAACTCATTTTGATCCGTTTAGATCATTGTCAATCTCTATTTCATTTCATCACTTGATTAAACATTTGTCACGTCTATGCAATTCATATATGTTTGTCTGTTCAGTCAATTCTTATCACGCAAAAAAACTTTTGAGTTAATTCTGTATTCTTATTACAATAAGTTCTACCATGCAAACTAGGCGTAGCCAGGGGGGTCTAATCTCCATGATCAGCATAAAAAACAACCAGAAGAGAGAAGAAGAAAAGAGCTCTGAAATGTTTTTTATTTAAAGCCTCTAGCTCAAATTTGAAGGAAGTTGCATCAAATATTTATAAATTCAAAACAATTTTTGCCTCGCAACCCTTGACTGAAAACCGAAAAATAAATTGGCGATTGCATCCCCCCCCGACTGTTAACCGAAAAAAATAGGCGATCGACTCTCCCCCCCCCCCCAGAATTTATTAAATATGATCATTAATTTTGCAAGTCGTATCACTAAGACCCTTCGGGGCATTTTGAAAGTCAATAAAAAGTCAGTTATAAAATTAAAGGACATACATCCAATTCCTTGTAGCTTGAAGATGATTTTGAAAAAATTTTGAATTTAAAACAAACGAATAGTCGAATATTGCAAGTGTAACAGTTGAACGACAAAACAGATGATGCCAGAATCATTACATTAACATCAATTACCTTTTTGGTATAGTTAAGTTAGACGTGTGTGACACGTAAATGTGACAGAATAACTTTGTGGCCCATATCTATCGGGAACTGGTTTAACTGTCTAATTATTGAAATCAGTCCTTCCTGAGCCTTGTCATCCAAGTCGATATAAACAGTAAATACACGTGGTGCGCTAGGAACTTACTATAGCAACGTTAGAGTCCTTCGAGATGAAATAACTGTCCAATTGAATGTTTTTTTCATAATTCTAGGTGATGGATACGGATTGACTCGAAAACATTCGATTTGGAAAATATTTGTGGATTTCATGCAAAGATTGATCTGAAGCAATATGACATCCCAAAGCCCAGCAGAGACGACTACATCAGTGTACATGGCCAATGACTCTGCCAACGCTACCACCCCGTGAGTAGAATAATTCAGAAGATTGCTGATTTATGGGGCTTTTATGGTTTATTGTTTAAAGTCTAGCTACAAGCCCATGTGAGCCCCCTCACCCACCAAATACAATGATTTTGTGTTGTGGTGGTGAGGTAGATAATGAGTTAAGTCTACCATCTTGAAGCAAGACAATTGTTTTTAGGGGTTTTATCTACTCACTGCTTTTTTACATCTGTCATAAGTGAGCGAATAGAACAACACTTAAATCATTTAAAACACATAAGATTATCTAATATGTCTAATCAGCAAATGCTTTTAATTTTAAAAAGAACAATTTATTGAAATTGTAAAAATACCAGTTTTCCTTACAAACTTTATCATACTTTTTTTTGTTTCAGGGAATGTGTTTCTTACTTGGACATCAACGCTTATTTTTTATTCAACCTAATACCAGCCGTAAGAATTTATTACAACTTTAACAGGAGTTACAACTAAAAATAGTAGTAATCATTATATACAACGATTATAAAAACAGTAATTATTCGGACATCTTTCTTTAATCGGTATACATGGTGATCCAAAAAAGATAAACCAAACAAATCTTAATAACTCAATCTTAATAAGTCATATTTGGCATATCATTTGACCCAACTTCATGTCCCTTCATTCTACTAAGTATCATTGGTCTCTCTCCAATGGTTGAACGATTTTATGGCCATTTTACAAAACCTGCTTCAATTGTCAAAACATAGCGAAACCACCCAATATGAACCAAAGAATTTTAACTTTTGGGACTATTTCAAAGATATTGTGCATATTTATAACCCGATTAGCATCGGAGAGTTGAAACAAGATATAAGAATGGAAATTAGAGCCTTTACACAAGCTATATGTGACTGTTTATTCGGAAAACTTTATTAAATGCGTTCAAGTTTGCCTCCAAAGAAAAGACCGACATTTTGAGTATGTTTTGTTAATGGTTATGAAATTGTTAACATTTGAAAAGAGACCAATAAAAATTGATAGAATGAAATTTGACTTTAAACCCATACTGGGTGACTGAGTTATTAAGATTTTTGTTTTGGTTATCTTTTTGGCTCACCCTGTAATACAAGTTATTACGTATTCTTTGAAATTCTTTGCATTGATATTATTTGATAACTATTGACATTATAAGATAAGGCAATCCAACTTCCGTCTTCGGACTCGCATCAATCCACGTTGGAACATCATTCTATTTCATTTCATTTGCGATAACCGGATACAAAATATATATGTTCTCCTCAAGCTGAAATCAAATACTGTTTTTCAGAGCTGCGTTATCATTGTTCTAGCGTTCCTACAACGACGACAGGCACTATGTCGGGGTTGTTTAGACGGCCGTCCGGGTCTATTGAGGTACACTCCACTCCATAAGTTTGGCAGATCCCCTTTGGATCATCCTCAAAGTCTGTTTATGTTAAGGGATTAAAAATTCATGAAATTGAAATTAAGCACCAAAAATTAATATTCAGAAATTGACAGGCTTTGATATGCTACCCAGTGAAAACTTCCTGTTGTCAAATTTATGGAGGGTAACATGCACAACTATTCAATTGGTATTTTGCAAAACCTTCAACACTACATGCTATTAAGATTACATTTCTCAATTTCAAAAGTGCAGAATTGTTTTAAATTATAAACTTTATATGTATGTATGTATGTATGTATTAGCTATGTACAGTATGTATGTATGCATGTCTAGCCCGCATTCCCAACTTGGATATTATCAACGCCATAACTTTTCTACTGTACTTTAGTGAGCTTAAATTCTGGAATTGTGTTTTCCAGTCCGATAGACTTCATACAGGGTCGTTCCCGACGTTTCTCCTACGCGGCAGCATTTGGCTTGACGGCAGGTCTCTGTATTACAATGATACTTAGGGAATTACCTGTGAAACCAACGCCAACCACGCCAAGTTATCTCACTAGTAAGTTCCCTAAACAGTCCGTCGCCAAAGCTCAAACATAACTTAATTAAACGTAAACCCAATCGGTTGTGTTTGGGGCATTATGACACAGCCTAAAAGTGTATATACACTACATTTTTTAAATTGATTTTTCTTTTTTAATTTTGCTGTGATGTCACCACTACACGTGTCGACATATTGTTATAGTCTCCAAATTTTTTTATGGACGGTTTTCGTTGTTTGGTGTTCGGCGTGTGTAAGAAAGGCAGGTGGTAACATTTTGCATGCTAATGTCTTGTTCATTTATTTATGATTAACACCAAAAATAATAATGCAATTTCAGCATTTTACTACGTGTTGACTGTGATAATATATGGTACCAATTTCTACCCTGTGTTTGCTGCATTGACTATGGACACCATATTTAGTTATATCATTGGAACGCTCTACGTTTGGTCATATAGCATCATTTTCTTCCTCTCGCTATGGAAACTCTGCAGGGAGGATGTTGATGATGATGTAAGTGACTTTTTGCATTCTCCAAATCGATCAATTTCTCTCTCAGCACAATGACTTAATGATTAAAGAGAGAATCAGATCTAGCGAGCAGGTCAACAAAAAATTGTTTCAATTTTAAAAAAAATGGTTACCATTCTTATTATTGGAAGAATATACATAATTTTCACCCATTTTTGAACTTTGAATTCATAATAACTTCACCAATTAATAACGTATCATGAATCTTTCTGGAGATATTGTATTTGAGATTGTAAAGCATAGATTAATAGGTCAATTGTACATGTTGTTTGTAATTTTTTCACCCCCTATAGATCTGATTCTGCCTTTAAGACTTGCCCATTTTCTTGAAAATTCTGTAATTTGTTCTTCAACATCAGATTTAGCGCCAGGTGGTTTTGCTTATGTTGATGTAATTTTGATTGTTGCATGTTTTGGGCTTTATTTGTTAATGTCCAACTTGCATTAATTAATAATTACTATTATGTAAACAATTATGCTGTTATGTAACATTACGTAACGTAATTGTGATTACGCACTCTAATGTGCAAATAAACTAATGGCAAGCAAATATTTTATTTTGTTTAATAATAATGTAATGCAAGCAGCGAACACAAACACAGTTATTTCTGTTTTATCGAATTTATTATTATAACTTAACATTTTTATACAATTTTATTGTGTTTAGTGACTAAATCAATTTTTGATTTAAGAACTCGCCAAATCTCTCAAGTGACTTGAATATATCCTTAAACGTTTATCGAATACGAGTATTGAGGATTTAACACTGCCAGATTATAACGTTGTAGCCACGCCCCTACCGATGACGTACGTTAAATGATGAAGTTGACGAATGGAATCACAAAGACATAAAATCACTTATTTACAATAAGTTGAATATTTCTTTGTAGATGATAATAATGGGAGAAATGGTATATAATGCCCCTACTATTCTGTGCTGTGGCTATCTCATGTTCAGTTTTCCAATACGCCTGATTATAAGTATCCGAAATAGGAATAGGGATAGGGTATGTAAAGATAGAACCATAGTTAGTCAAGATACACATCATATTTGAAAAACAAATCCAAACATGTATGAAAATTATAGTAAACAATCAATATATCTGAGACATGAATGAAAGCTTAAAATGTAGGCCTCAATTTATTTGTAATTTGAGTCCAAAAATGTTCATAATTGTGCAATTTTTTCCAGAGTATGGAATGGACACACCATTTCCAGGCAAAATACGTCAGGCGATTATTTGATCCAATTCCAGAAGAGAAGTAAGAATAGAATAAAATCACGATGTGCCATTCTGTTGAGGGTCGGTGCGCATGCGTACACGTAACGAATATACAGGGTGGTCCAAAAAATATTGGAACATTTGGTAATTGAACGCAAAACCTTTATTTTTCTTCTAAAATGTACCAAACTTTTACTGAGCATAGTTCAATCACTTATTTATCTGATGTAAAGTTTATAGGTGAAAACCACAAAGTTAATGCATTAAACTAGTCAATGTTTGATAGGACCCCCTTTTCCGAAATATACACTTGTCAATTCCGCGGCTACTTTTTCAAGTATTATTTATTTCAAAGCTTTAATGCACATGTTAATTTAAATATTTTATAAAATCATATTCAGTTGACAAAGAGTATTTACATCTGGGGTTTGCCAGAAAAATATTGTGTTAACTTAAACTTAAACAATACCCAAAATGATCATTTTCATTTAAGAGTAGGGAAAAGGGAACATGTCAGAGGTGAACGATTGCATAACCCTCACAGCTACTCAAGTGACGAATTGTTCCCACTTTTCAGTAAAGGCAAAACTGACCATGGCCAGTTATTCACATTAAAAACCAATGCTAAGCACACATACAGTGTATAATATATATATAATATACCATTTGTGTTCTCTCTATGATATTGATAGACAAATTGATATATCCAATGGATATCATTCATATCAGAACAATTAAGGGGAGGGGGCTTCATTTACCAGTCAAATCAGACTGCCCTGGCCTCTTTCTGGAGAACATTGAATCAGTAATACACCCAACAATAGCCATCAAAATATGCTTGATACTCATGATTTTGGGTAAAAAAAAGTGTTAAATATGTTACTAGATTTGATCTTCCGAGGCAAACAAAAAGTAAGTTTGATCAAGCTGAAGTTTTTAATTGAGATGGCTTGGACAAAACAAACGAACAGCAAACTAATTGAATATTTACAAATCTGAGCCCCAGGCTTCAACTTGTAAGTCAGGAGAAGAGGGGTCATATCAAATATCGACTAGTTTAATGCATTAACTTTGAGGTTTTCACCTATAAACTTTACATCAGATAAATAACTGTGACTGAACTATGCTCAGTAAAAGTTTGGCACATTTTAGAAGAAAAATAAAGGTTTTGCGTTCAATTAACAAATGTTCCAATTTTTTTGGACCACCCTGTAGATATGAAATTATGTGGAGACCACAATTATGTCATCTATGAAGAATCATATAAAGGTTGAATATGAAATGTCGTGTTTACCCCACGTTAGTTTTATATAACTATGAATAATATTTCATAATTGTCAAGAATTAAAAATGGGAAAACAAGTTAAACGTGAAACTACCAAAGCAGCATTGATCAAAACCATTATTTTTAGGCCTCCACCTGGCATGAAGCAGAAGATAATCGGAACTATAAAATCTGGGATGTACAATAGGGTTTCTGGTAAGTTTATCGAAATAGCATTTTACGCATGCGCATGTGAAATAACAATGTACGCATGCGCTTGGGAACACAAGAAAATAATCTAATCTCGGGATACTTAAAATAAAGATGATAAATAGTAAAAAAAGGTACTATTCAACTACACTTTCATTTCTTACAAGACAAAGCGCTAGTACAATCAGGATCTAGGTAAAAAAAAAAAAAAAAAACGTGCCTCTTCAGCTTTTCACATTCGTTAATGGAATTTATGATTTTATGGTTCTAGGGTACAGGTACTCAACACGTGTGATATGTACTACAGTAGTGACCATCATTGTCATATATATGGTAAGCTTAAACCATAAACGCTTCATGAACATCATAATCATGCTGTATTTTATTTATTGTAAGTTATAAATTGTGAAGTGTCGCAATGTAAAGTAAAAAGACAGGGCAAACAATAAAAATCCATAGTCAATGCTCCCGGGTCAATGCTTCGTATACATCTAATAATAGTACAATAACGTCATTTCGAAGCCATGCCCGCAGAAATGACGTTATTAGTAATATTACCACCGTTAACGACCAGGACTGAAACAGCAAGAAAATCTTACGCACTGAACGATATTTAATTTCCCGGGGAAAATTGCCGGTCGTTAAATGCATTCTCGACCGGTGTAAAAGGGTAGGAGGTCCTATCAAATTATGGTCCTACTCTCCATTGATTTATATGGTGACCTAAATACAATGCTTTCCCTCATTACCTTATACGCAATCGGGGCCAGTAAGGGCCGTTAACAAAGGGGACCATAATCCCTGGGGGACCATCATTTCTTTCACACCTGTCTGAAATGCTATATTGACCGCCACTTTGACGTTACATATTGCTCAGGTCGATATAGTAAAATGAATGCCTTCTAAACTAGCACTAAAAGCCCTAGTACTGGCCCGGCAAGGTGGTAATAATACATATAAAAAAGAAATATTAAAATTTAAGCATTTCATTTCAGTTGTTTTCCCTGTATATGCTGATGCTATACCCATATTTGGACTATGCCTATCTGTCAATCACAGCCATTATTGAAACTGGCACCACCCCTTTAGTCAAGCTCCTCATAGAGGCAATCATGGAGAACGAAATTGAAATCACACAAGTGTTTGACATTCTACTAACCTATAGTAACAATTAAAGGTAAAATGTGTTATATTTAAATTGAAACGATGACAATTGTAAGTATCAACAAGCATTGTATGCAGTATATATGTCAAAATAGTGGGTCGTCAGAAATCACCTTCAAATGGTTCATCATAGTGCGTATCAAAACTAGCAAATAAATTGTAAAACCAAAAAACCAGCGCTGTTTTGTATTCCCTTTTTGTTTGGTTGCAAGTTTTTGGGACATCTAGTTATCAAAAATGCTAACATTCTCCAACTTTGAAACCACATCAATCTTGCTTAAAGTTGTAGTTGATACATGATATCAACTTTTCCTTAATTTAATGTAGCGTGAAATGTTTTTTAGTTAGTTTTGTTGTTGCTGCTGCTGTTGCCTTCATTCTCGTGCTCTACAACATACTCCGGAGTTTGGCCTGCTACAGGTACATGTAGTCGTTTTAGTTAGTTTGAAATTTGTTATGTTTCTTATTAACGACGTTATATGTAGGTATGTATGCTAAAAGATGTGCAAACACGTCTTATGGTCTTTCCAATTTACCCACACCTTCCAAATATCTGCTTTATAAATCAATATACAAAGTAAAGTAAGTCTCCGTAACATATCGACCTTGTTGTTATTTTAGATCGATTTATTTGAGTGCTTTTATTAGTTTTTAAGTAGTTTAGCAAATTGACACAGAAAACGTCCTCGTTATTATATGACGTCATGAGCATAAAGGTTTAAAAGCTGCAACATTTAAATCACATATACATAAATTGATAGTCAAAATCTATTCAAAAAATCTGATTTTCTAGTGCTTACAATTATGAGGATTATGTATTTATATATATGCATATTCCATTTGTATTTTGTAGATATGATCAGTTGACATTATACCGTGGAGCCCACCCGAACCTTCCACCAATGAAGGACCTTGGGCACTCAGGACTTATGGTAATTATAAGATTAACGGCAATGGAGTAAGGCATTTATAAAATGTACAATTGGAATAAATAATTGTATTGACTAAAATATAGATATATTTATAAAAAAAGAAAGAAAGAATTAATTAAATTAATGAATAAATAAATAAATAAATAAATATAAAGTAAATAAAGAAAATAAATAAATACATAAATAAGAGATCCATTTTATGTTTACATATCAGATGATTTTTTCTGTTACTAATTACTTTTTACAAATGTTTGCTCTTGCACCTGGGCTGAATTTCAAGTGTTTAAAATGAATGATATTTCACTTTTCGCATTTTTCTAAATCTTTGTAATACTTTCAGACGGGGTTCATACGATTTGCTGGATATCAGGTGGCATATTGCGCATGGAGTGAGTGTTAATTTATTACTAATTACAGTATAATAGTTATCCCCTCTACAGCTATTTCGAAAAAATTGATATAATTGCTCGTCTTGCTCTGACTTTGGCTATGTCAACTCTCTAGTAGAAGCACATCCTGAAAAACTATAGTCATTTATAGACAGCATCTTACGATGCATTTGGATAAAGCTTTCATGTTAAATTACCTTAATCAATTTGGGCACTTAACAATTAAATATAAAACTTTAAAGTATTGGATTTAAGTCCTGTGCTTTGCTGGCCCTGGTCTGATTTGATTTTGTATTTCACCGTGATCGGCAATTAACACACTGGTATGTTGAATGGTTATCCTACGAACTAGTGTTACGTAACTATGTGATTTCCAGTCGATAAATGACCTTAACTACACATTAAAATCGTATCAGTCTGATAATTTTTTAAATAATGAGCAATTTATGAAATGAATCTTTATAAGTAGGAATTATGGATTTTATGATACAGTTGCCAAATTGCAATTGCATCCAACCGCATTTTTATTATTTCCAGGTTTTATCATTACACAACTTCTACTGTTCCTGGTGATATTTGTAGTATCCTGTGTTTTAATAATTCCCCTTACACTTGGTTACGGTAGATGGTTTCTCAATGTACTCTTAAATGCATGGTACGTAATACTAGATATAACATTTTTATGATAATTACTATAGCATCTCCACAGTAGTATATGGCGTCCATTTCGACCTGCAACCGGCACCGGTACTTGTGCACCATGGTGCACCGGAAGTGACGTCATGGGTCACGTGCACCGGAAGTGACGTCATAGGTCACATGTTATAACTGCACAACAATTTCGACCAATCACATGGCTGTAATATATCAATTTGACCAATTATATTTGACACATACTTCATAGGTTGTATAAGCTGTAGAACCATCATGCCACTTTATATCACTGGTCAAAGGTTACTGATAATTGGTGCAAGATCAAGGATTTCTGATAACTGATAAGATATTCAAACAAACACTGTTAAGGTAACCTGGTGACTATGTGATAAGCTATCTTGTCTACTTCATGGATGTTTCATTGTTATAGGTCAAAGGTGAATAACAAACTGATAAAACAGTAAAAAAGATAACTGCAGAACCATTTCAACCAAACAGGTTTAAACTTACAGAATTATGTTAACCAATCAGAGTACAGAATGTTTTAACCAATCAGGTTTCGAGATGCAGAATTATAACAACCAATCAGGGATAGTATGTTTGTATTATCTGATCCAATCGATGTACAGGATATTTTCATCCATTATTTTAACCAATCGGGTTGCAGTATATTTTCATCTAATCAGAAAGCAGCAAATTCAACCAATCAGAGATAAGTTCCACCAGTAAACCAGTGCAAACATTCTGGTATTATGCAACACAAATATTTACTGAGAGATTGACATTGCTAAGGTCCGGTCAAAGGTTACTGATAATTGATTAAGAGAGAAGTCTACTGATAAGATAACCAAACCAACACTGTTAAAATAACTTGGTGTCTAAGTTATTCAAGCTCTTAAGTAATCTGTAGAACAAACCTTTGACATATGATATCACTGGTTAATGATAACTGATAAGAGAAAAGTAGAGAGTGTAAGTGTACATCATTAATATTATTGAGAACAACAACACAATAAATATATTAAAATAAACATTTAGAAGGCTGATCTGGGGATCAAACCCAGGACCTTTTGCTCCTAAAACAAGCATCATACCACTAGAACAATCAACCATAGATATGGAGAGAATATTTTAATATACTTCATGGCAATCATAAAAAGTATAGCATGTTTTGAATCAGATATTATGTTATGGTCAGGAAAACAATAACTGCAGAACTATTTTAAACAATCGGGGTACAGTATGTTTTCATCCAGTCAGATATAAGAAAATCACCCAGTAGAAGAATTTTGCAACATTACAAGTTCCGGCTGGTATTGAAGTTTTATAACCAACAAGCCTCCTGAGTCATTTTAGAATAATTTTTAAAGTGTCACGTTTGAGCGATTTCAGTCACTGTTGGTCGATTTCTGCTAATTTTTGGAGTTTGAATCTTTTGTTGTTCGATGTATGTAAATAATTCCTCTCAGTTGAATTTGCAAACAGAACCTAGGTCATTGCTACATGCTGCTACAAAGGTAGATTAACCATTTATTTTGGACAGCGACCAAGTGTGAAGCGAAAACTGGCAGCAAACTGGAAGCCCGGCGGGTACTATTTATGTTTACATGAGTTTTCCCTCCAATTGTAATCAACCCCTCAAATGTCTAAAAACCATGTAAGTGTACTTTTTTAGAATCTTTTTTTGGAATATTTTCGACCAATCAAAGTGTATATGCAAATGAGCTGCAGAACAATTTCAATCAATCAGATCAGATTATTGCACTCTTTGACCCCGCCGCCGCCGCCGCCGCCGCCACCGCCGCCGCCGCCGCCACCGCCGCCGCCGCCGCCGCCACCGCCGCCGCCGCCGCCGCCATCTTTACTTTTTACTGGGTTTGATTGCAATTTGATAGAAAACTTATTTAAATATGAATATCACCTGCCATTAAAGGCACAACGGGTGGCGGCGGCGGCGGTGGCGGCGGCGGCGGTGGCGGCGGCGGCGGCGGCGGTGGCGGCGGCGGTGGCGGCGGCGGCGGCGGTGGCGGCGGCGGCGGCGGGGTCAGAGTGCAATAATCTGATCTGATTGATTGAAATTGTTCTGCAGCTCATTTGCATATACACTTTGATTGGTCGAAAATATTCCAAAAAAAGATTCTAAAAAAGTACACTTACATGGTTTTTAGACATTTGAGGGGTTGATTACAATTGGAGGGAAAACTCATGTAAACATAAATAGTACCCGCCGGGCTTCCAGTTTGCTGCCAGTTTTCGCTTCACACTTGGTCGCTGTCCAAAATAAATGGTTAATCTACCTTTGTAGCAGCATGTAGCAATGACCTAGGTTCTGTTTGCAAATTCAACTGAGAGGAATTATTTACATACATCGAACAACAAAAGATTCAAACTCCAAAAATTAGCAGAAATCGACCAACAGTGACTGAAATCGCTCAAACGTGACACTTTAAAAATTATTCTAAAATGACTCAGGAGGCTTGTTGGTTATAAAACTTCAATACCAGCCGGAACTTGTAATGTTGCAAAAATTCTTCTACTGGGTGATTTTCTTATATCTGACTGGATGAAAACATACTGTACCCCGATTGTTTAAAATAGTTCTGCAGTTATTGTTTTCCTGACCATAACATAATATCTGATTCAAAACATGCTATACTTTTTATGATTGCCATGAAGTATATTAAAATATTCTCTCCATATCTATGGTTGATTGTTCTAGTGGTATGATGCTTGTTTTAGGAGCAAAAGGTCCTGGGTTTGATCCCCAGATCAGCCTTCTAAATGTTTATTTTAATATATTTATTGTGTTGTTGTTCTCAATAATATTAATGATGTACACTTACACTCTCTACTTTTCTCTTATCAGTTATCATTAACCAGTGATATCATATGTCAAAGGTTTGTTCTACAGATTACTTAAGAGCTTGAATAACTTAGACACCAAGTTATTTTAACAGTGTTGGTTTGGTTATCTTATCAGTAGACTTCTCTCTTAATCAATTATCAGTAACCTTTGACCGGACCTTAGCAATGTCAATCTCTCAGTAAATATTTGTGTTGCATAATACCAGAATGTTTGCACTGGTTTACTGCTGGAACTTATCTCTGATTGGTTGAATTTGCTGCTTTCTGATTAGATGAAAATATACTGCAACCCGATTGGTTAAAATAATGGATGAAAATATCCTGTACATCGATTGGATCAGATAATACAAACATACTATCCCTGATTGGTTGTTATAATTCTGCATCTCGAAACCTGATTGGTTAAAACATTCTGTACTCTGATTGGTTAACATAATTCTGTAAGTTTAAACCTGTTTGGTTGAAATGGTTCTGCAGTTATCTTTTTTACTGTTTTATCAGTTTGTTATTCACCTTTGACCTATAACAATGAAATATCCATGAAGTAGACAAGATAGCTTATCACATAGTCACCAGGTTACCTTAACAGTGTTTGTTTGAATATCTTATCAGTTATCAGAAACCCTTGATCTTGCACCAATTATCAGTAACCTTTGACCAGTGATATAAAGTGGCATGATGGTTCTACAGCTTATACAACCTATGAAGTATGTGTCAAATATAATTGGTCAAATTGATATATTACAGCCATGTGATTGGTCGAAATTGTTGTGCAGTTATAACATGTGACCTATGACGTCACTTCCGGTGCACGTGACCCATGACGTCACTTCCGGTGCACCATGGTGCACAAGTACCGGTGCCGGTTGCAGGTCGAAATGGACGCCATATACTACTCTCCACGTGAGCGCTTGGGGCATTTTATCTATTTTAAGATACATTAATATAGTAGTTAGGCACAAAGGGCATTTGATTGCTATGTTCGGAGATGAATAAGTAAGCATATTTTTATCATTTGAATTTTCTTATTTACTACATTCGCAACCTAAATGTTATCCTATTTATGCATATAGGCCTGCAGTGCTAGTTGCCATGGTGCTAATGATTGGACAAATGTTGCTGTCCAGATTCGCATTCCTGCAAGAGAAAGGGGGTGTTCTCGCTGCTAATAATAGGCATGTATTCCCGATTAAATAAATAGCAATAAACGTAGCCCTCTGCAACCATGTAGTAACGAAAGTATCCTAGTATAACCGCTTTGAACGTATTCATTATATAAACTTATACTGTTTAACTGTTTTAGTTATGAATGTATCCCTAACCCACCTATCACACCAAACTAGTTCTTACCCGTTCTTGCCAGTCCTACGAAAACGTCGTAAAACGGGCTCAATCTGGCTGTGGTCGGGAAATATGTCTGAAATAATTAGCTTCTTCGTTCTTAAACAGTCTTCAATACGTCCATCTCGTTCGCAGTTCGTTCAGGTCGCACCACGTCGGTGTGCAACGTCGTAGAACGCGTCTCTTAGTCTAGAAGGTCAACATGACCTGATAACAAAACGGTATGGTCGCCATCGAATTTTGAATCGATTCAAAATTCTAAAATCACATTCCCGTCTGAGAACGTTCATAAAGTTCGTAAATAGACCTTAGAAAGTTGCAGCTACGTTCAATCCGTTCGCTCCCAGTTTAAAACCAGTTTTGAAGAACGCAGTGGCAACTTGTTTGGTGTGATAGCTATATTTTTGCTAACTCGTTCATAAGCAGTGTTAAATACGTTCTTAATTAGTTTAAACCCGTTTGCAATTAGTTCTACCTCGTTCTCAACACGTCCTCAGACAGTTCAACTCGTTGTTAAAACGTCCCTAGTAGGATTGAAGTGCGATGGTTCCGTTCGTAGTACGTCCAGCTCGTCGTTAGTACGTTGTCACTCGTTCTAATTGTAGAACGTGACGACCACGAGAAAATTTTGAGCATTGTCTAAGTTCTAGAGGACCCACCCGTTCGAGTACGTTCGATGAAGTTTGTAAATAGATCCCAAACGGTTCTTAGTAGGTCCAGTCCGTTCGTATACAGTTGAAGCCCGTTTTCGAGAACGCAGTGAGAACTAGTTTGGTGTGATAGTAGGGTTAATAACCTCTTAGTAATGAATGTATTCATGTATACCCACTTCGTTAGCAATGAGCTTATCCCTGTATAGCCGATTAGTGATGAATGTATACGTGTATTACCACTAACCCCCCTATCACACCAAACTAGTTCTTACCCGTTTCTTGCCAGTCCTACGAAAACGTCGTAAAACGGGCTCAATTTGGCTGTGGTCGGGAAATATGTCTAAGATAATTAGCTACTTCGTTCATAAACAGTCTTCAATATGTCCATCTCATTCGCAGTTCCTTCAGGTCGCACCACGTCGGTGTGCACGCGTCCCTTAGTCTAGACGGTCATCATGACCTGATTACAGAACGGTATGGTCGCCATCGAATTTTGAATCATTTCAAAATTCTTAAATCCCCGTCCTGTCTGAGAACGTTCATGAAGTTCGAAAATAGTCCTTCGAAAGTTGCCACTACGTTCATCCCGTTCGCACACAGTTTAAAACCAGTTTTGAAGAACGCAGTGGCAACTTGTTTGTGTGATAGCTATATTTTTGCTAACTCGTTCATAAGCAGTCTTTAATACGTTCTTAATTCGTTTAAACCCGTTTACAATTAGTTCTACCTCGTTCTCAATACGTCCTCAGACAGTTCAACTCGTTGTAAAAACGTCCCTAGTAGAATTGAAGTACGACGGTTCCGTTGGTAGTACGTTCAGCTCGTCGTTAGTACGTTGTCACTCGTTCTAATTGTAGATATGACGTGCACGGACCTGGGGACAATTCGGGAAATACGGGCTAATCTCAGCTTTAATCGTTAATATCTGCCTTATTTAAAAAGCTAACTATATGCATTATATATCATTTTGAAGTATTTTTTATTCGCATTTCACTGAAATTATTTTTCCTTGAAAAGTGTGATGGGATCTACCATATTTTTTAAGTTAAATGTACTCCGACATCGTCAAATACGCTGTAAGGCGTAACATTTCACGCTTACACGGTTCGTTGAAATCAGGATAACTTTTGAAATACTGATCAGAATTTTACTAAAATTTCATATTTTATTCATTGAAACATGTGCTTTTATGACGTCACAATTGCCTAGCGGCTACAGTTCAAATCGTCTTATATGAACGCTTTTAAGATTTTCAAAATTGTGTAAGGTTTTGAAGGCGAGGGAGACAAGCAATAAGTTCACCTTTATTTAACCTTCTAATTTAGGTCTGATTTCAAAAAAAATTTAACTGCACAATATTGTCATGGCGAAATTTACAAAACAATAACCGATTTCTTTATTTTTCAAATAATAAGAGAATAAGAGTTGCTTTTAGAGACTTGAAAAAATGTAACGCATCGATTTTTTACCACAAATACCATACATATCAATTTTTATAACGCCCCGAGTGGATTTCCTGACCGTTTTTCAAAAATCAAAAACATTTTAGAAATATTGTCCTCGAGATCTTCTTGCTCTGTGAATTTCACCAGGATTGAATAAGAATAAAGCATCTTATTTTTAGGTAGACTAAACTTGACAAAATGTAACGCTTGTCGTTTTTGACGTTATAATGCTGATTGCGCCCTATACTGGCCATTGTATTGTTTTGGTATTTTGACGCCATAATGTTACTCTAATTGTCCCCAGTTTCGTGCGACGTGTAAGAACGTGACGACCACGAGAGCATTTTGAGCATGTTCTAAGTTCTAGAGGACCTACCCGTTCAAGTACCATCGATGAAGTTTGTAAATAGACCCCAAACGGTTCTTAGAAGGTCCAGTCCGTTCGTTCACAGTTGAAGCCCGTTTTCCAGAACGTAGTGAGAACTAGTTTGGTGTGATAGTAGGGTAACGAATGAGTTTGAAATGAAAATATCCATACGTATGAATTCATACGTGCATAACCACTTGTAAATGAACATATCTCCTTAAAAGTGCTTATTAATGAAACACATTGATGATGTTCATATAATGTTATATAAATTTTATCTAAATATAATATTACTTATAATGTAATGTAATGTATGTATTTATACTTTTATCATTATTTACGCATGTTTTTCTTTCAGACGCTGGTTGTTCATCTTTACATATTACATGTTTTTCTACAACGTCTTCTTGGGATTGTTTTCCACTCTGAAGCGGATATTGTTCTCAGTATTGTTCGGGACCCTCTTCTTGAGCAGAATGGACATAGCATCATTGTCTCGCTTCTTTGAAAGAAAGGATCCAGGTATGTTACCACTTCGTTTTTGTTCAATTTTTTAAGGTTCGGCTTTAAATGAGTTGCCTTTTTAAAGACATTTAACTTTACGAAGAACTAGGTAGATCCTGACGTCACTAGCCTCCCTAATTTACGACTTTTTAGCTAGCGTATTGCACGGTCTATTTTTATTAATGATTTTATTCCACTTGTTGAAAACAATATAAACAATTACATATAAAAGGATACCAATCGCCATTACAGGTTGCTTTGATTAAATTAAACATAGTTTTCATGTTGCTTTAGATATCACAAACAGAAAGTAAGTAAAATATTGTAAATAAAATAAATAAATATTGAAAGTATTTGGGTCCAGGAGGTTGGAAGACGCTATATGGGTCAAAGTTTTAAATTCTAGTTGGGTGAAGATAACATTTTCCAACAAAGTCAGTTACTATGTTAAGGAGGATATTTTGAGAATCTCGACAGAGGGTGTTTTCAAAAATAAGATATTCTTATTGGTCATTTTGGTTTGTACATGTATTTGTATCATAAAGTAGGTTGTTTTGTCTCAGTGCAGCGATCATATAAATTCTTCCGTTTATATTGCGTGGGCAACACAGGAGTAAGTGTTTTGTACTTTCAGGGGATCGACATGGACACTTATTATCATTTACTCCTGTAAAATTGTGAGAGAAAAAGTGATCTTTTAACATAAAATCGACCCGTAGTCTATTGATGATTTTCTCCTTATTCCTTATAAGTTTGAGCTTGGTTGTTGGGATAAAATTCATATGAAGAAATATTAATGAACGAACAGCATTTTTGAAATTAGATATGGTTTGTAAATCTCGCACGGTCTATTTCGCCAAATAAATGAGTAATTTAAACATATGTAATAATGAACTGAGACTAAATAAGAAGTTATGTTGTACTTTCGTACGAGTGATACAAATTTAAAATATCTTTGATAATTAAACCTTTTATTGGGTTGCTGAACAAGGCAAGTTAGGCACAGTGTCGACTAACAATGATCGAAACTGTGAGTTTGATACACATAGCCTCCCTGCTTTTATTCATTTAATTTTTCTGATATTTTTAGGTTTCTCGTCCTACCTTGGGCTCCTGTACGTTGAACATTGTCACAACCACCCCATTTTGGTGACATTCTGTAACATCCTCATTGACGATCACAACCGGAAGTACCATAAAGGGAGATACGCCTCGAAAGCCATTAGAGGTATAAGCCAATTTGTGACATATTTAAAGCGCTAGATACACTAAACAGTTTTTAACACAATGCCTTAAACAAGGGTGTACGAGAATTATCTTACCTTTCTTGATATACAGACTAAGCCTGCGTTAACTTTTTTAATTTTCTTCCAGACGAGGACACTATTGATGTAAAGATAAAATCCCAACATGGTAAATACCGGGATTTCAAAGACCAGAAGTCATGGCGATCTTACAAACGCGCTCAAATGCGCTGGCAATTAGTACTCACACTGATGCGTGCGCCGATTCTTCAATACAATCGGAAACAAGCGATTATTGCCGAAGCAGAAGCCGAGAGAAAGCGCGAGATTTCAGAACAAAATGAATTAAACTTACAAAATGGAAGACAACATGGGCTCAATGATATGAAATACCAGCCAACGACAATTGCCAACCACCACACTATCTTGAATGTAGGGGACTTGGACAACGTTGATTCTAACAAAATGAACGTGTATTTATCTAACCCACATGACACTCAAAAGGAACAAACTACATTCCTCTAAACTTACCTCAAACGATGTATTTTGTATTTTTATATGATGTTTTAATTGGTATTTAGTTAATATAATGCTCATTATATATGATAGGATGCAACCACTCGCTTGTTATGCATCGTATATTTTAAATACGAGGATAAGATACAGGGTAATATGGACATAAAGACTTACGTAGTATGTTTTCATAGAAATGTTATGCATCGTATATTTTAAATACGAGGATAAGATACAAGGTAATATGGACATAAAGACTTACGTAGTATGTTTTCATAGAAGTTTTAAAATTGTACTAATTTGACGTACTATTTTAGTACGCGGCATATCTTCCTTTGTTGATATCTCTACGAAGGAAGAAGCGTCTAAACAGTACAGAGAAGAGTAAAGGATGAGTATCGATATGGCGAATTTTTTGAACACACGTTTCTCCTAAACCAGTCATCAAAAAATTCTGAAAATTTTACACATTGTCAATTTAATAGTCATCTTTTGAATGGTAACAATATAATTTGAAATAGATATATATACTTTTCTCTATATTGTTTTAGAAATCGCATCGGACACTTCTTTTATTGTTCTTGGTATCATATGTTCGGAATGAAATGAAACATCTATCCGAACCTCATTGGAACAAAATGTTGTAATTAAGAGATCATCAATATTGTAATAATACAAAGGAAAGTTTGGTTGATTTAAAAAGTATCTTGTTAATGAAATTAAAGGTTATCTTAGTTTTTATCTATTTAGGGGGGTTTTTGTTTTAATTTTTTAAATACTTTTTGTTAAATCAACCAAAATTTCCTTTGTACAACTATAATATTGGGAAGTCTAAGAAAATGTTTTATATGCTATTTTGTTCAAACAAGCTTCGGAAAGATGTTTTATTTCATTCTCAAGAAATGGTAAAAAGGGACAAAAAACAATTGCACTATAAAACAAAAAATGTTAACAAAAACAGTTATATAAAATATGTATAAATTATTTTCGCGTTAAATTGTTGTCAATCAGTCAACATTACATAAAGGACTTTGTTTTTTTACAGAATGTTTTCAATAATTTGGTTAAGAGAAAAATATTATTGAATTCAGTTCTCCATATCGATACCAATCCTTTGATAAATATATCACAATAAAACAAATACTGACAATGTAAATAAACAAATAATAATTGTCATTTTAACCATTCTTATAGCGTCTGTATAACATTGGTGTCCACATGATATATCCACATCTGTATAATATTTAAGTCTGCGTTTTTCAGCATTATTGACTTTACAACATTGTATTTATCTATTTCGATATATTTAAACAGTAAACATGCGTTAAATGTCTAGCTGTCCTTGACTGAAATAAATATATATTAAAAAATTAAGTCTTTATAATAATGTTTAATAATGTCTTTATAACAATCGATGGTAATCTTTCTTTTTTCAATGTCTTATTTATTAGATACACAGTCGTAACCATATGAACATAACCGTTTATGTATCAATAAACTATCGTCTTCTAAGCAATAAATCAACCAATCAATTCAAGTCGCATCGGCAACAAGGATGTACTTATTTCTCTCTTTACTAGATACACTCACGCCAGGATACTCGTTGTCTGTGCTTCATTAACACTCAGTAATTATTCATGTACAATGAAAAGTTATATTTTAGTAAATTTTTGACGATTCTCTGTTGGATCTTCCCTGCCCTCTATTCCATCAAGAGAGCCAGAAACTGTGTTAACATCAATTTTCGAGCCCTGTATTCTGCTCACCTTTGTTTTGAAGTTTGTTTCGCTTTGACTCACTAACGAACTTTGTGTGTTCGTTTGTCTTCTGTATGCTGTTTTCTTCTTACAAAATAACTCTCGCAGCGAATCACGAAATTTCTTTCCGCTCAGGCAGTACATGACGAAGTTCAAAGCGCTATTGAGATACATTAACAGGTTCACAATGGCTACAGTTAGTTTCTCGCTTGCCTTTTCAGCTGTCGTTGGGGCACGTGTAATATCTGGTTGTATTACAACGTCTAGTAATACGACTGGGGAGGTAAAGCAGAGGAACAAAAAGGATATCATCACGAGCATAATTGTCATGGAGCGTGTTGTGTCGTCCTGTTTTGAACTTGTCACGTTCATTTGGTTCTTCCGGCGAGCGGCTGCTTTGACCAACTGGGTGACAATTAAAATGTTACAGACGAACAAAGTGATGAAGGGGATGAATGAAGCGACGGACGCATCAATCCAAGGCCAAAAGGTTCGATGAAATTCTTCAAATCCCTCCAAGTAGGCGCAATTGAACTGAATTTCTTCAATCAGTCGGATGAAATTTCGCTGTCCAACTGTAAAGAACCAATGAAAGTTCACCCCAACGATGAAGAATGTAATAAGGCATATAACAGTCATGGTTTTCCTCTTGGTACAGATCGACTTTGCTCTCAGGGGCAAGTAGACGAGGATGACTCTATCAATTGTAACACAGACCAACATCCAGGCAGATAGGTCAATAAACATATAGGTGAAGAACACATGGATTTTGCATGCCCATTCATGTGCGGCCCTGATATCATAAGTGAACATGTTACGAGACCACTGTCGTCCTAGACCAACGAGGAGAACCCCAGTGTCGAATATAGCCAAAGCAGCAAGATAAATTGACGAGGCAGCTTTATTCATACTTGTAAATTTCATCACAAGAAATGACAGAATATTGCCGATCAATCCAAGTATAATCACAACTAGTGTCATATATTTCCATAGAGCGACGCCGATATGGTATTCTATAAAGTCCTCAATAGATGGCGCTTTCACGGTAGTTACAAAGGCTGTTGAATTTAGATATTGTTGAACTGAAGTGTTTCCGGCAATTTCTAGAGTAGTCGAATCCATCGCGATGCTTGAAATCGCATAACCGGCGTTTGATGTGGCTTCAGAAGCATTTGGAAATTGAGTCGTTCCATTATTCTCCATTTTAGGTATTGAGCTCTCGGACCCACAACCTCCGTACAAACTCTGGTAGGATACTAATAATGTAATGATAATATCTCATTTCCTGTCAAAGAAATACAGTGCCGCATTCATATCAGTCAATTAAACGAAGTGGCCGAAGACAATGCATACCAATTGAGACATCAGGAGATGAGAAAACAGCAATCAACATTAAGTGATGAGTTCAAAACAAGCCATTAGATAATTACAGTGGCGTGGAGACCAATTGAATACCTTTAATAAGACATGATAATCGTTTAGCAAGATTAAATCATATTTCTATCAATTCAAATTAATTTATTAATCCAATGAGAAAGCAATTCTATTCTTCTCCATAGTATTATCTGAATTTATCTCGCTTTCCGAGCTAATTGGCCCAGGTGTCGACTGTCGATTTATAGCATCGATGAGAAGTTATAAAATTACCCTACTATCACATTAAACTAGTTTTCACTACGTTCTCGAAAAGTGGCTTAAACTATGTACGAACGTACTGGACGTACTAGGAACCGTCTACGAACAATTTACAAACTTATTTATTTACAAATTTTCACACTTAAGTTGTGTTGCCACGGCAACCACTTAACCAATCATGATCAAACTTGCAATTGCAACTAATTACACATAAATACATAATCCATAGAAATAAAAAGTTGATTGGAAGTATATAACATAATTTATTTATGCTTTTCATAGTACCCCTTCATAAAAATAGCTAGGGGGTATAAATGGCAATAATTCCAAGAGGCTGAAAAATTAGACCCTGTTTTTTTCAAAATCAATGAGAAATGATATACTTCACACGAATGAGATGGACGTATTGAAGCTATAATTATTTTAGACATATTTCCCGAGCACAGCCAGACTTAGCCCGATTTATAGCTTTTGTAGGACTGGAAAGAACGGATGAGAACTAGTTTGGTGTGATACGGGGGTTACCCTGGCCTACTATACTAAAACAATTAAATTAAGTCTCACTTTTGATCTTCATAGTATTTCCAATGGATTAATAAGTACCTTATATTTTATTTGACACCAAAAACAACTCAAACAGACCACATCAGAGTTGACACTAGATCATGAAAAAATATTTTTGATGTATCGGTTTATAGATGTCAAAATTTTAGCAATCCCATACAGTCGAAATGTTGAGGCATGCGCAGACCTCTATTTAGTGATATTTTCATTTCAAATATGGCGGCCAATCCGATGTCTGACGACCCTTACAAAGAATCTAGGCAGTTTGCATTTTTACCTCCTGTGAAATAACAAGTGGAAGTTAGTAGTTTTATTATCATTCTGCATCGTACTTCTATGTGATGTGGTGTTGAAATGTCAGCAGAAATGCATATCCATACGATAATCGAGTGAATCAGATAACAGATTTTTCGAAAACCCGTCTCGTGCTAAGCGTGTAAAAACTTGTATTAACATGCTCAAAAGTGCCAATGTGCACATCAATGTCAAGCTAAATCAATGTTGTGTCTAAAACAGGTAGCCGATCTACTCAAAACAGCTTGTCATTCACGTATACACGCTTAGCAAACACGGCGAAATGACCTGAATCTTGGAATTTCGTTCAAGAGCTAGTAATGTTTGCTCCGGTCTTCGTCATAATTGTTCAACAGACTTCACGCATGCGCAGGAGAAAAACCATCAACCAATAAGGTTTATAAATTAATTTTGCGCATGCGCCTTACAACGGTAAAGAAATTGGTATTTATAAACGAACCAGTTTGAGATAACCCGATATCAGTCGGAGAAATCTGACGATCTACGAAACTCACTTCAAAAAATCAAATGCGGACTGACGGCGTATTCTACTATGTTTGGATCTAAGATTTTCAGTATTGATAAAGTCTTTTATGATCTTTCGAATGAGGTAAGTCTCTAGTTCGAAAGACAATCGTATCAACTTGAACAAAAGTTGAGTTTTGACGAAAAATTTTAACATGCGCAGAAGTCCCATTTTCGTTGTACCATATTGACTGCATAGAAAGATGGCATTGTTGTTTGCATTAATTGTCCATTCATTTTTGATATGATTTTCAACCATACGCCATTTTTTATTTCAAGATTTATTTAAAAACATACACTTTGTGAAAAGTGGTAATTCACTTCTTTTGATCTCTGAACTTCAAATGCTGTTTTCTATGCGAGTGATTTCTTTTCACTTTAGTATTGACCCAAATTAAAGTTTTTATCGTATTTGATTGACTGTGTGAGTGACATGTCTCAAATATTATTTTGTCCTTTTTCCTTCAGAAATAAGCGCATTGCCTGTTTAATATCCCAATAGGTAACAATCTATAGTTCATTTTGTCTTAGTGGATCAAGTAACGATCGATTAAAAATGATAAACTTTAATCGATTCAAAATGTTAATTACATGTACATGCGAGGGTTGTTACAAGACGCTAGGCAAAAAAGATTGGTAAATATGTGTTGCTTTGAATATAACTGCTTGTAAGCTGAGTATGAGGTCACATGATTTAGAGAAATTCATTTAAACTCCGCCTCCATCTCCTTTTAAATCCTATTTATGTGAGCCAGATGACTTGTATAACTGTTCTTGGCCGGTAATGACAATGCAGGTGCAAAGTCTTCTAATCTAGACCACCGCTATTGATTTAATGTAGAAGAATCAATATTCGTTGATTTTTAGGTTATATGCATGTAATCGATCAGTCTTTACTTTTTTAATGTACACCTGTAGCAGAGTCTTAATGTAGCAGATAGCACGCGTGATCATTAATTAATTTTCTAACCGATACGTGTTTGTTACAATTAACGGTGCCAGTAGCTTCATATTTAATTCAAAGGTGTCTGCAGTTGCAGCTGACAATAGCATAAGCGTCCGTGCAATGTCACGTGAAATTAAAGCGAAGACTTTCGAGGCAAAGTATATTAATGTTGCTGATGCTGATAACGTTAAAGAGGACGATGATAGACATATTAATAATGATTATATTAATGGATGTTTAGTTCCACTGACTGATCATGCCAGTCCAATAGATAAAACTAAATGTGAAGATGATCGATTCAGTAAGGCATCTTCAGTGAAGAAAGTGTTTCGATATAAACTTTTGAAGACGATCCTCTTAATAGTGACATGGATCGTCAACGTGAGTATTTCTTTATTTTCGTAATCTTATCATAAAACAAATAATAACCCATGACGGAGACTTGTTAAGGTCAGGCTAACCAGATAGGTCAAAATCTAAGATATCATTTTGCCAGAGTACGCGCACCCTCCGTAACGGCTTTTAGAACTATTTGCTAGTTGAATGTACTCTTTTTCGGCATCTCGACATCTGTATGCAAAAATAAAACAGAGTGGTACACAATAAATTCGATTTGAAATTTTACAGCCGATGAAACTTTTATGAAAATACAGAACTTTGGACTTTTAACATTGGATAATTTGTCAACTTTAATGTCAATGTTGATGTCCTGTTCTCTGTGAATGTAAATCATCGCCAATGATGCACAGGGTGTAAAATAAATATGTTCTCTCCCCTCAACTATAACATTCACAAAATGTTGCATAACTTTTTGTCATATGATTTCTGAATTGTTCTTTAGCAACTATAGGCTTCATGGAGCAACTCTACAAGAAGTTTTAAATGACTAGTACTAGCTCAACTTTGTGCACTTTTATGCACAAAAGTTCATACTCTTGAAATCAAGGGGAGAACATATTTATTTGATACCCTGTACTGTAGATACTTACTCGTTCAAGACTGAACAAATGTATGTTTTCTTGTATTTCAACTTGTTTAAATATGGCGAGCCATTGCGTTTCGGGCACTTTTTAGTCCTCCAATTATGTATATTTGACAGGGTTTGGTATTAACGATTAAATATCCGACATTTCCTGATCTTTGCGAGAGGACAGGCAGTAGTGTCGAAGAGATGACCAGAGCTACAGCGGTGAGGAATATTGGATATATAATCGGGTGTTTAGTAGGAGGTGAGTCAAAGTATAATTATGGATATTGGATATATAATTGGTTGTTTAGTAGGAGGTGAGTCAAGGTACGACATGCAGAAACTTGAACACCGAACATGCCCGTTTATACTTGTCCAGCTAGCGAGTGTTGAAGACCAATTTCATTATTTTAGGCGTGAAATGTTCTATAATACTTTACCGAAAACCATCGTTTTACAAAATATAGCTTCATAAGTATTTAGTTAATCTGACGCGTACCTGAACTGTCGAGAGCCTTTTTATACTAGTTATAGTCAATCTTCAAAAGGCACAGTGCGGACCGAAGAAGATTGGGGTAACAAAAAACAAGGAAACACGTCACTAACACAGTCAATTAATCCTAATGGCTGCAGAGGGGTCAAATTGACCACCTCCCACACTCGTTTTTTTCAATCGTACTTTTCTTGGCCTCTGCTATTTTCCTAGCATGAGTTGACACCTTTTGGCGTTCCATTTCAAATACTAAAACGATAGAAAGTAATTTAGCTCATAAACGCTGTTAAAGTTTCTCCATCATGTAATTAAACATTCATATACGTTTTCGGTTTTTCTACAGGTATTCTATTCGACCGATTTCGGAAAACTTGGGATCTTCAGTTATCTTCGGGATTTTTGCTGTTGGCAGTTTCTGTTGCTTTCAAGCCCTGGTGTAGAGGTATCGTATCGTTAGCAGTTCTTTACTGGCTGGAAGGTGTATCCCATGGCATTTTTGGAATAGGTAAATATTGTCATAAAGTTCTCATAATATATCTCTAACTTTTTCAATGTGATTTAATAAGATTTTCATAGAATGTGCAGCATGAAATGTCTTATTGATCTAGCTAAAATATTTAGCATAAAAATATTAGATAAACAATATATGCCATACTACCGGAAATCAACACCAATTTAGACACCTTTTGTGTGGTCTATTCAAACATTTAAAGACAAACTGAAGGGGCATACTAGGGTGTTTCATTTTTCAAGAATGTTCTCAGATCATAACGGCCCTTTAACATGGGGTTACAAATAGTGCCGGTAGTTCAGTGATTTTTTTTCAACAAAATCGGATAATATTAAAACTGGTCCGTCGGCCATTATTTCCGTCCCATTGGAATACATTGTGGTCGACGCCCACTTTTCAATGGAAAACATTATTTTGCTTATCATTTGCCGGAAATGATTGGAAAATGTTTTCCTGTTATAAGCATTTGGATGTACATCAAAACACTTTCAATTGATGCAAACTAGCTTGTTCTAGCACTTTTTGTCGCCGAGGTATTGTCAGTCTGGGGGAGGGGGTCAAAAATAAAAATTGATTTCAGCCACTTTTATTCTTAAAACATGTTTTATTTGCAAGGGCATATTCGACTTTCCAAAGGATATTTAACAAAACAGTCGTAGAGTTCAACATCACTTCTAATGAAGCATTACAATCACACAATCCACATGACCATTATAATACTAGTAGTTCGAAAAGGTGATGTATGTATTGGTTAATGAGGACTATTTTTTATTTTGTTATACCAGTAACAATTTTTGCTGGATTTAAATACAACATTATATGCTGCACATTTTGCGAAAATTCCATTAGAATATATTGAAAAATAAAAACATTAAGGAGATATTAGGAGAATCTATCAACCTATCAATGATAATGGTTATTGAAAATTAGCACCGATTATACAGATCAGTCACTAATAAACACGTATTGCTGATGCACTTGTTTTCCAGCTGGCAATGGGATGATGATAGCCATATGGGGAGGAAATACACCAGCCCCACTACAGGCCATGCACTTTGGGAGTAGGATCGGGTCGTTAGTAGCGCCTGCTCTGGCGTATCCTTTCCTCAGCGCTACCCGTGGGGAAGCTCTCTACGCAAATGCAACCATACCTAACAACACCGAGACGACTGAATTCACATTTACATCCAACATCGAGGTACCATATGTGATATGTGGAGGATTAGGCGTATTTGCATCACTTGGGTATTTGGTGGTGTATTTAGCACCACGGCCCCAAGGACTGGTATTCACCAATGTACCTAAAGGAAGGAATTTAAAGGAATTGTTACATCCGGGTTCTTTCACCAATGGGAATGCGAGATACGGTGTAATCTTGATGACGTGTATATTCTTGTACTTCTCAGTTAACGGGGCATGTAGTTCACATTTTCAATTACTACAAGCTTCAATAGCCACCGAGACCTTAAATGCGACAAAACAGGAGGCTTCACTCATGCAGTTTGCCGCAAGAGGATCTGCGATTTTAGGAAATTTCATAATAATTCCAGTCTCAAAGTTTGCTCCAATGCCGTTTATCGTGTTCGTACAATGCCATGCTATCGCCATAATCAACATAACAGCGGTTGCACTGGCTTTAAAGAGTCGTATGAATTTTGCGGTTCTCGGCTGCGTCTTTGATTTCTTCTTTGCCTCAATATGGGCGTCTGGGATGGCATGGCCGGAGATGTATATTGATGTGACTGGTTCAGCCATTATGATATGGAACATTGGGTGTGGCCTGGGAAACGCTATAATGGAATGGGGTAGTGGTTACATATTGCAGTATCATGGGGCGCAGTCAGTGATGTGGCTCTGCGCAGCGTTTGCTATTTCCTTGTGTTTGCTGATATACGTCACACAATGTGTGATGTCTTACCATGGACCAAAGAAAAGACATCTTGTCCCTACAAACATTAATTAATAATGAATCAATGTTTTGGTATACAAATAATAATGTACAAAAATTAAAATATATGATTTATTTATTTTAATCTGTGACATGGTTTCAATATGTATCTAAGATACCGCGATAAACACGCCTAACCATCGATAACGTACAATGCCAACATATACCGTCGGACACATTAGATGTACGGTGTCACTGTTAACTGATTTGAAGCAAAAACTATGATGTAGGTTTGATGTAGATTTTAAAAAAATAATCTGAGGAATACATAAAGGATTTCATGTTTGATTTCGTGTGTATTCGCTTCGAAAGACTTTCTGATTATGTTAAAAGATTTTCGAGCAGTGCTCGATTTCTTTCGTAGTAAATCTACCCACAAAAATTGGTCGGTTGAAAAATGTTGTTTTTTCACATTTCCTTTGATCATTTTTTCCCCTGTCGCCTAAGCGTGTCGATTATTTTGATGAGAATATGTTTCGCTAAACTACACAATTTAGGATGAGTGAAGATTTGATAAACATTATGTATTGGGTATAATTTTTTAAATTCAGATATGTACGTTGTCAGCTCCGGTGTACGGTGTCCGTGTAATTGAAATTCAAGAGATGTAATATTGAACAATGCAGTAATTCTATTTCAAAATCAATTCAGGATTGTAATGAGTACAGGTTATGTTCAACGAACATGTTCAAGTATCCCTAATACAGATGTTGCTAAAGATAAGGTAAATGTGATTTTTAAATCTTGTTGAATGCTATTTTATTTTATGAAACTGTTGGTATGGTGATTAATATGTGAACATTAGGTGTTTGCTTCCAATCTCATTTGGCGTCTATACGTTACTGTTATCATCATTATGGTAATAAGATACCCTTTTATGGATTTTGATAATCTGAATAAGTTCATAGAGAGCTAGTCGAAGACGACTTTTTAAATTCCTGTTTATGCTATAAAAAGTGGAAAGTGCAGAGGTTCAATAGTTCAATCAAGTTGAAGTAATACTATAATTGTCCAATTTCATTTTTAAATACATCTGATCCCCCTGCCCGTTAGTGTTATGAAAAATATGTTGTCTTCATCAGGGTTTACTGTGGATTGAGACATGTAAGTTCAATGGGACAACGTACATCGAATTGACAACTTACGCTTGTGATTTTTTTAAATTGTAGCCAATTCTCATGAAAATAATCGACATTCTTAGGCGACAGGGGGAAAAATTATCAAAGGAAATGCGAAAAAACAACATTTTCCAACCGATCAATTTTGTGGGTAGATTTACTCCGAAAAAACACTGCTCAAAAATCTTTTAACATAATCAGAAAGCTAAAAGTCTTCCCAGGCAAATACACACGGAAATAAACATGAAACCCTTTAAAACCTACATCATAGTTTTCGCTTCAAATCAGTTAATAATGACACTTTACATCTAAAGTGTACGACATTATATTTTGTCACTGTACTTTGTCGATGGTTAGGCGTGACAAAACAATAAACCCAGGTCGTCATTGTCCTATTAGAAGATTATACCCAAATATATAAACCTAAACGTTATACAGGGCCCTGACAGGGTCTGGTGTTATAGATGGGAACCCAAATTTGACGTGGATAAATATGTCGACGTTATCTCCGCTGAACTAAACGCCCTTCAAATTCTTTTGTCATTTATTGCCTAAATTACCCGGAACTTCAATTCAAGTATTATGAATCTATGGTGAGTCCTGATTCATGATTCAGAAAACTAATCCAAACATGGAAATGTAATTGGCATTAATAGTCTGACATATAATATTGTTATAATTTATTTACTGTGCAAAACAATTACAAAAAAAGTAAAAAACAAATAAAACAATAATAGAGCGTTCAATGAGTCCAATGATTATTCATTTGAATTTTCATCTCCATAATCTGAAATGGGAAATATTTTAAAGGTTGTAGAGATAAAAATGATTTCATATTTGAGACATTCAATTTTTCTAGATTTTCTTCATTAGTAAACATCAAATAGGCAGACACTATGAACCAGGAAAACTGTTCTCCTATTATGTTTCCAAATTTCAAGAACAATAAAACAAGATGGCCGCCCAAAAGTTAATCAGCTCTAGTACTTGATATCCTCTATCATTTGTGTAAATTTGAAGGAAATCCGATGAACGGTTTTCCTGAAATGGCGATGACAAGATTTCTCAAAAAACCTTCAAAATGGCCACCAGAAAACAAGATGGCCGCCCAAAAGTTAATCAGCTCTAGTACTTGATATCCTCAATCCTGTGTGTAAATTGAAAGAAATCCGATGAGCGGATTTTCTGAAATGGCGATGACAAGATTTTTCGAAAAATCTTCAAAATGGCTGCCAGAAAACAAGATGGCCGCCCAAAAGTTATTCAGCTCTAGTACTTGATATCCTCTTTCATTTGTGTAAATTTGAAGGAAATCAAATGGGCGGTTTTCCTGAAATGGCGATGACAAGATTTTTCGAAAAACCTTCAAAATGGCCGCCAGAAAACAAGATGGCCACCCAAAAGTTGATCAGCTCTAGTACTTTATATGCTCTATCATCTCTGCGAATTTGGAGAAAATCTGATGAGCAGTTTTCCTTAAACGGCGATGACAAAAAGCGGGACGATCACGATCACGATCACGACCACGATCACGATCACGACCACGATCACGACCACGACCAGTATGACGACTATATCCCACCGACGGTGTGATAAAAAGTTCATTATTGCTATTGAAAATCAATCCCATGTAAACCAATGCATCTTTGTGGATTTTCGAGCTCAAATAAGAACATGTTCATTCCAGCTTGTGCAATTAAAACTCTTATTTATAGATTTTGATAGGTAACATATGGGAATTGGCCATTCGCTCTTAAAATGCAAGTAAATATCTATTAATTCTGTACGTCTCTTGAATTAACAATATGTAGATATATCAAAATATATTGTGTATTAACCCCATTATCCCTGCCCCATAGCCAGGAGGAGGGGGTTGGGGTTCAAACCAACCTCTTCCTGTGGCCAAAAGTTCTTTCAAAATCATACAGTCTTTCACCATTTTGAGCACTTTTCGAGAGATTTTTGGTCAAAGTTGTGAAATGTGCCCCCCCCCCCGACGACCCATTCATGAGTCATAACAAGGGACAAGTCTGTTTTACCTTCAATGTAACCCCCCTATCACACCAAACTCGTTCTTACCGGTTCTTGCCAGTCCTACGAAAACGTCGTAAAACGGGCTCAATCTAGCTGTGGTCGGGAAATATGTCTGAAATAATAAGCTTCTTCAATTCGTTCTTAAACAGTCTTTAATACGTCGTTCGCAGTTCGTTCAGGTCGCACCACGTCGGTGTGCAACGTAGTAGAACGCGTCCCTTGGTCTAGAAGGTCAACATGACCTGATTACAGAACGTTATGGTCGCCATCGAATTTTGAATCGATTCAAAATTCTAAAATCACATTCCCGTCTGAGAACGATCATAAAGTTCGTAAATAGACCTTAGAAAGTTGCAACTACGTTCATTCCGTTCGCACACAGTTTTGAAGAACGCAGTGGCAACTTGTTTGGTGTGATAGCTATATTTTTGCTAACTCGTTCATAAGCAGTGTTAAATACGTTCTCAATCAGTTTAAACCCGTTTGCAATTAGTTCTACCTCGTTCTCAACACGTCCTCAGACAATTCAACTCGTTGTTAAAACGTCCTTAGTAGGATTGAAGTACGACTGTTCCGTTCGTAGTACGTCCAGCTCGTCGTTAGTACGTTGTCACTCGTTCTAATTGTAGAACGTGACGACCACGAGAACATTTTGAGCATTGTCTAAGTTCTAGAGGACCTACCCGTTCGAGTATGTTTGATGAAGTTTGTTAATAGATCCCAAACGGTTCTTAGTAGGTCCAGTCCGTTCGTACACAGTTGAAGCCCGTTTTTGAGAACGTAGTGAGAACTAGTTTGGTGTGATAGTAGGGTAAAGGGCGTTTTGTGTTATACATTTTACATTGTGTAATATAAGGTCAAGATTATGCGAAGGTCAGGCTCCTTTAACGGAGCCTTTATTTTTTGTTTTTCATCTCAATCGTGCAATTATTGGCTCAACATAAGAGTAAATAATTCGATTTTGAAAGCCAGGGTTTCATCTTTATCTACAAAATCGTATTTCGCGGTAAATTGTTTCAACCACACACGTCATGAAAACAGTTTTGCCACGAAAAAAGACTAGTGCTGACTTTATATCCCCGATATCATGATAAAATGAATTTTTGGAATTATTGATGGTTCACCATCGTAAAGTGTGGCTTCATACGATAGGATAGCATTAATATCTCTAAATCGAGTAAAATGGTTTGAGTACAACTTTGAATTGGCTTTCTGACTTTAATACCCTTCACTAAATGGCTTAGTGTCTCGGGGACATTTTTGGTCACGTTGTCATTCCCGGATGCCCAAACATCTCAGAAACACAAAGGTACTCGAATGATCTTGATTAGACATCACATGGTGCAGAGAAATAGTAATTTTACTAAGTGGCTCTGAAAATAAAAATACAAGTTTGTCATAATACACTGTATATACATAAACAAATGACCTTTCATGTTATATATTCAATGGACACATGGTTTTGCAAGTGTATGTTTGTTACTTAACATAAAAACGTACATGGCGTCGTGTATATGAAACATCGTGTCAGCTCCTTACATTAGTACTAAATGTCAAATTCGATGTTGTCCAAACCTGTATGGGAGTCGACATCTTTACACAACATTTTCTCAAGAACGTTCTTGGGTCAGGATAACCAGAAAGGTCAAAACCAAATATATCATTTTGCCAATATACTCCTGCTGAATAGACTACTTGACTTTATATTTAATAAGGGAATACTTGAGATAAAAGAATTGTTTTAGCGTCTTCATTTGCACTATTTTAACCTACTATCTAGTAGGTCTCGTGTACAAATGTTATATCGAGCAGTTAATTTACAGTACACGTGTCGTTGTACACGTGACAAGATGGTTATCCTCGTATTTGGAGGGTAAGTAGGGTTGTAGAATGGCCCCATATTGACATGACGTCATTCATCCTTCTACCAATTGCTACTTGTTTGAAATAGATTTATTATTCTCGGCCTGGAGTTTGAAAGACAATTCAATTGCAGAATCTTCTAACCTTCAAGACTTCTACTATTGATTTAATTTATCGGAATCTGTTTTCGTTGCTTTTAAGGTCATATGCATGTAATCGATCTGTTTGCACGAGCTTGTTTTTAAAGGTCCCATGTAAAGTTTTAATCACTTTGCTCTGTAGTGCCTTTTGGTTTTTGGCATGCATTAATGATCCGATTATAGAGCGGCAAAGCTGTAACTGCTGCTTAAGCATTAATGGTCTTTATAGTCCCATTACATCGTTCTCGACAAAACACAGACTATACGACACTTTCTAATGAAAATAATGTTAAAAGACAGTGATTGTTTTACATTAGGCAACAAAACGATCCCCGGGGTAAACTAGGTTCAGAACCCAGATTTAAATAAACGTAATGATACAGTGAAAATGGCCATTTGGATGCTAAGATAATGTTTAACTCATTATGTAAGGATAAGACCCGGATGATTGAATCCTCTGCCATGCATGCGTCATCTGGAATAAAAGTCATTCAACCATCAGTGCTTTATAGATGCGAGATGTGCAATTTGGATAGGACACAAATATTGGAAATTTGAAAAATGAGAAAGTTCTACATTTGGGCTAATTACAATGGAAAACTGTCAATAGAAAACTGTCTAGAGAATGAGATTTTTGTTTTTGAATAGAGTGGTGAATGTACTACATAAATTATCTTCAAAAACAAATAGCTACTTTGCAGAATTAGTAGTTATGTTGTCAGAAAAATTGCTTATGCAGAACTCGATCAAATGGTTGATCTATTCAGTGGAATAAGGAAAATGATGTGTTTAACAGTGTTAAGCGTTGTATTTGACGATCTAAAACCCGTTTTAAAATGGCTGGAAATTCAAATATTTAGACATCATTAGATGAATAACGTTTTTTTCAATAGTCATATCTTTTAAAAACTGTCTCAAATGACTTTATAAGTCATGAAAGGTAATGTCACTGGGTCAAATAATGTTAAATATACATAAGATTAATGTAAGATCTATCTATGATGCATTTATAATAAGCCACCAAAAATCTCCATAAATGCTTAACTCCGATTTAGATAAGTGCATACAATTCCTTCTTACGTATTTATCTCATATACCATTAGCAAATGCTAGTGCACATTTGATAGTACATTTACATCATATCCAGAAAACATGATGTATTACGTATTTATCATTTATTAATATGGGTTTATAAATATATCGAATGCATTTGTGACGCATTAATACCGATCATATAACACGTGTTTTTACTTTGAATAGTTATGTAATTAAAGAGAGAATCAGATCTAGCGAGCAACCTAACAAAAAATTGTTTCAATTTTAGAATATTTCTGGCCCATGTCATTCCTTTTCATGTCTATTTTCTAAAAATACCCGAAGTGCACACTTTATTTCAGGAAAACTCGAGATTTTTACAATAATGTATTACTTTTCTATAAGAATGGTTACCATTCTTATTATTTGGGAGAATTTAAACATTTTTCACTCATCTTTTGCACTTTGAATCCCTTATAACGTCACCGATTTATAACATATCGTGAATCTTTTGGAGATATTGTATTTGATGTTGTAAGGAATAGATTGGTAGATCAATTGTTCATGTTGCTTGTAATTTTGTCGACCCCATAGATCTGATTCTGCCTTTAAAGCTGCTCCGCAAGCTCGCCCGCCATTTTTAGGACAAACCTGTCAATATCTTACCTTTCTAGAATGGCAGACTATGACCCTGAACACAACAGAATAACAGAGATTTCTCGTTTGAACTGGACACTTCAATTTTCCTAAATTTGCAGCGAATTTTATGTCGTCTATGGTGCTCGATATTTGGTGACGTCATTCATTTATGCACAGAATACAAACATCCAACTAGGAGGCTGACAGCACAAAAGCGGTGATTATTAAAAAAGTAAGTGGTCTTCCGCGGGATTATATTCTATGACGGCATTCTCAAGAAAAAAAATCAGTGTATAGGGCATGAGACAAGAATACCTTATTTGTAAGATTATAATGGCGTATGTGTTGGCGTATTAATATTATCATTTATATAATGGCCATTATCATATTTTCCCTCAAAATAAAATTCAGATTGCGTTCCTCCTATCAAATTACCTATGTATATATAAATCACACAAATACATTTTTAAATGCTACTTGGAGAAGTATTAGAACTCATTATAGAATTTCTGATCTAATTGTGCCACCTTCACTTTCTCATATTTCAACAAAGCCATATTAAAAATACAAAATTGTACTCAATCATTACATTACTTATATCAAAATGTCACACATAGCCTGGAAATGATTTTTGATTACAACTTGGAGCACTATTACTGACTATTTATTCTCTGAAGCTGCAAAAATAAGATTGGTGAAACTAAAAAATAACGAAAATATGCTTTTATTTCGATAAATTATAATTTCTCCCAAACCAATCAACATATCTCTCTATAATTTCAGGATACACTGATCATCTTTACTGGTGACATATTATGTAGAAATCAGTACTATGGCAAATATTTAATTGATTTTATAGAATGATAATCTAATACCCCCCCCCCCTCAAATATTATTCTAGGGGGGTAAAAAGGCTCAGAATCCTTCGTCCACAAACTAATACGACCCAGACATATGTGAATTGATGCTGAAAAAAGTTAACTTTCAGAAAAATTATATCTAGCAAAAGTGGCCCTCTGACTTCCCAAAACGCTTGCTGTAGACTGGCCTATTGTGTATTTACATAAATATAATAAATGCAACTGTTTGTTACATGCGTTCAGTCGATGATATAACTTATTTACTTTCACCACAAATACGCCAACACATAAGCCACATTAATCTTAGTTAAATTAATTCCCATTGATGCACAATTCATTTATGTGTAAATGCCATTTTGTATATTTAAATGCATTTACCTCATTTTATGGTTACACAAGAAAGCATTTTCAGGATTTGGACAGATTTATCCTATTTTACCCAGTGTATATTTAAACGATTAAACTATATTTTCAAACTTCACACAAAGCCTTTAATGTACAATACTGGCAGATGGTCTTCGCGCAGCAAAAATCATTAGTTAATTTTTAACACATACGTGTATGTTACAGAAACGATGCCAATAGCTTCATACTAAGCAAGGAGTCTTGACACAATTTAAAACTGCTGAAAATACAGCCTAAGCGCCGGTAATAATATTACAATGTCATGCGAAATTAAACCAAAAACATTCGACGCAAAGTATATCAATATTGCTGATGTTGATAGCCCTAAAGAGGAAGGTGATAGAGATATTAACGATGGTGACATTAATGGATGTGTTACTCCGTTGACTGATCATGCCAGTCAAATAGATGAAATTAAAGGTGTAGATGACCAGGTCAGTAAGGCATCTTCAGAGAAGAAAGTGTTTCGATATAAACTTATGAAGACGATCCTCTTAATAGTGACATATATCGTCAACGTGAGTATTTCTTTATTTTCGTAATCTTATCATTTATTTAAAGTGGATAGAGACTCTCTTATTACCCAATGTATGCACTGCAATGTATGAAATGCAATGTATTTCCCGATGAAAACCGAGAAATCAAAAGATATTAGAGGTTCTGTTATGTTCACTTAAAATTATATGTAAGAAATAAGTAGCGAAATCAACCAATGATAACACAGGAGTCATCCTTCGTATGAAATAAATCAAACGTTATATGATACTCCTTTTGTAAGCAATTGCGGTGTCCTTGATTGTGACATGTTTTGTTAATAATTTATGATAAATAAATAACATATCCTTTGAAATATTTACCAAGACCGCCTCCTTTGCAATTTTCATCAATAAAAAGATACTGTGTTTGGCTCACTATGTAGCATCATTACTTCTTGTATGTTAATTGAATATACACTGTATTTTCCTGATACTAAAGTGCATAAAGGGAGGCTTGAAAACAATAGAGTGGATCTTAACCCATGGTCCAAATGAGAATTCGCGAATTTTAATTAATGTTTGTTACTAAAAATAGCAGTATATTTGTACGTTTAAAATGTCGGATAAAAAATAAAGCAGCCTCGGACAGCCATCACAAAACTAAATGTATTCAGTTTCCTATCGGACATATTCAGGGGATAGAAACGCGTCCAGTATTTTCGTCTGGTATAACTGGAAATACTGGACGCAGACCTCCTAAGGTTGGCCCAAAAAAAAAAGTTGGGCCCAAAAAAGATGTTAGGCCAAAAAGGCCTTAAAGCCCCAAAAAGTGGGCCTTTTGCTCATTATTGGGCCTTCTAAGGCCTTATTTTTTAATTTTAGGCCAAATTTTGAAGAAAATGGGCCTCAAATTTTCAAAATTTGGGATTTGGGCCCACTTTTCGGTTTTAGAGGCCCGAAATTTTTTCCGCGTAAGCACGGAGGTTTTTTCTCTGACCTCAAATTTGGGCCCCCTGTTGGTTCCTGGATCCGCCACTGAGGGGGTGTAATTTTACTCGGTAGCCTGTGATCGTTTTACACTGTGTCCTAAAAACAGGCTCATCAAATTCCCATGATATTGTACATTTGAAGTCACCCCTAAGTCATGAATGGGGTCAAGAGAATACTTAACAGATCTCGATGCATTGGATTTATCTTTAAAACGAGTCTTGAGTGGATCTATATAATGTTTCAAGCATTTTTACTAATTTTTATCAAATAATACTTGATAATTGATGAACTGGTGACACTTTAACGTGGATATTAACAGCTTATGGTAGAATACACTAACAAATATAAAAATACTACCTGCTTCAATAATTATCGGGTATTATAATCATCGACATTAGTAAAAATATCTAGACATATGGATCGATCTTAAAAGAAAGCAAGTATTGAGGGGAAAATGTGGCAAATGAAGGTTTTCAATATCTTATTTTGTGATTTGCTCAAGTGCGTAGCTCCGCCCTAATGTTCATTTAAGCGAATATTTAAGTTTATATATTATTTATTTCTAATGACACGCAAAAACTGGTAACAATAATAGCAAATATATTTTTCCAAAATAATGTTTAGTTTACAATAAAAGTTGTGTGCCGTGAACCTGTTAAGTGCAGTTGATGACCTCCCTATGCTTTCAACTATGTATAATATACAGGGTGTCCGGAAAGTAAAGATACAAATACTCTAATTTTAAGAGTTTTAGTTTTTGTGTAATGAAATTGCTACAGATTGTAGAGGAACTTTATTACAATACATCTGCCAACTTTTATAACATACAGTCTAAACTTGTTAAAGTTACGGTTGTCATGGTTATGGTGGTGAGGGGTATGCGGAGCAGTTCCAGGATATCACTAAATTGTGATAAATTGCTAAAATACAACCATTTGAAACATTGTTTATTTTGGTATTTCCTATCAATGTTTTGTTTTGTTCAATATGGTATTCTTGCTGCCATAGTATTCTCTTTAGTTTAATGATATCATTGATACATATCAGAGCTATGTAATGTCATCAGGATAATCAAAGAAAATGTATATTAGTGCTTAGAAAAAGGGTCCTTGGATTAATAGAAAAGTCAATAGTGCACCTCCACAGTCAATGCACCAATTCACAAAGCAAAGAAAACAAATCTCACAATTGAATGTCTTGACATTAAACCTTTTTGTACAATGGCCAATATTTGCCTGATGATGTCCTGTTGGACTTCTACATTGATGAATATCTTAAAGCAGTATTTGTTAGAAGTTCAACATGAAAATTAGATTCGGCTGGAAGCCAATGTTAGCAGCAATCTTAGAAATGGGCAGCGGCGGTTTTGTCAGGTCTTGGAGTCTCCAGTCAAAATGCACCAAGAATGTTAAGATAATGGTGGGGAATACATAATACCGGATAACAGAAGTAATGCCAAATGACTAAATAATGTGACAGTACTAATCCTTTTGCTGCTGTGGTACATAATTTGATATATAATAGCAACAGATGACAAAGTGTCAAGATGATATGAACTTGAGAAAAGATTTATAAAACATAATTGTGACGCTGCTCCACATACCCGCGACTCCTGTAACCATAACAACCATAACTTTTTTATTTTGAAACAATTTGTCATGATATTTGCAGGATAAATTGTTACAATGACATTCTACAATCTGTAGCAATTTCATCTCACAACGGGTAAATCTTTTGAAATTAGAGCATTTGTATCTTTACTTTCCGGACACCCTGTATAGTGTAAATGTTGACTTGTCATATTTGGATTTAGACCAAATGAACAAGTTATACAAGGGGCGATCCATATATTCTGATAAAAATGCTCTCATTTTGTGATTTTTTCACATATCCCTTTCATTTTTTCAGAACATGTAGATTATGTAATTACACATACGATGCTAAAATATTTTAGCTGTATCTTAAATTAATTTTGAAATAAGGTTGCCATGGTAACCTGTATTTAGGGTAGGCAGGTCAGTTAAATTATAACATCTAAAATAGATAAATATGTTAATTTAATCATTCCTCGGTACCTATTTTAAGCAGATCAAACGCATCTTCCAGTCATTGTCAACTATTCATTTATCTGTTCCATACCCCTGTTGCCCTTGTTTGATAATTTATACAGTGGGATAGCTATCTTTTCATAAGTAACATCTCAATTTATCGTATTCTGTCCGCAAGCTCTTCTTGCAATCATATTGCGGATGATCTTCAACAGTGACCATGCTTTCCTCTTTACGATACTACCTATATATTCTTTATGCAGATATAACACCTTGCCCATGCACTTTATGAGTCCATGTATGTCTCTGACAGTGTCCTGTTACTTATTCTTGAAAGAAAATCAAATCTAATGGTATTCCTAATGTATCCGTTATGTGACACTCTGCATCAGCCACATTAACCTAATCTGACAATTTGATTTTTGGTGTGTCTCATAACATGTAATGTCAATTGGCCCATTCTGTCCTACAATGCTATTGTGATTTGTTTTGATGTTATAGTGAGCACATATAAACATTTGTTTAGCAACAAACAACGAGTAACAATACCAAACTTTTTTAGAAAAAATGCATGATTTCCGCATGCTTTAAAATAATTACAATAACAAGTTATTTTGATATTTATATGTTATGATTAAATTGACCTGCCTACCCTTAATACAGGTTACCATGGCAGCCTTATCTCATTGATAATTTAAGATATAGCTATAATATTTTAGCATTGTATGTGTAATTACATAATCTACATTTTCTGAAAAAATGAGAGGGATATGTGAGAAAAACACAAAATGAGAGCATTTTTACCAGAATATATGGATCGCCCCTTGTACATGCATACTAAGTGGGACGTTTTTAAAATTGAACAGACAAGCGGGTACAAAGCAGGCCACAAAGTAGATGGAGGTTTTTTCTTCATTTATGGAGGAAATAAAGATAATACATACATACATACGTACATACGTGCATACGTGCATACGTGCATACGTGCATACGTACATACGTACACACGTACATACGTACATACGTACACACGCACACACGCTGCACGCACACACGCAAACATATATACATATCGTCCCATTATTTCCACATTGTTACAATTGCATTTTCGCTGATATTAAGAAATCAGAGGTTGAAGTTTAGGTCTTCATAACTTTTGAGTAGTAATTTTTAAAAACTTATTTTTTCGTATAGGTAATCATGTGTATATGTAGGCCTTACAGAGCAAAACTCACTGATTAACGATCAATAAAACACATCTTTTTTGGTTTCTTTATTTTGAAATATCAAAATAACCCTGAAAACTGAATTTTTTTTCACTTCCATTTTATTATTGTCTCGAATACCATTATTCTGCCCATCTAATTATAAAGAATATGACTCGTGTTCCATTTTGACTGATAAGGTACTGGATGAGCTTGGTCCATGTTTTTGCTAACAGGATTGCATTTTTTCTAATTAGGTTGATTATGTGAAATATATCATTTCTCGTTGATTTTGAAAATAATAGGGTCTAGTTTTTCAGCATCTGTGAATTATTGCCATTTATACCCCCTGGCTACTTTTATGAAGGGGTACTATGACAATCATCAAAAATTTCTGTTATATACCTTCAAACACATTTATATTTCTAGGGATTGTGTATCTATATATAATTAGTTGCTATGTTAAGTTTGATCATGATTGGTCAAGTAGTTGCCATAACAACATAACTTAAGTGCGAAAATTGTTAATATTTTGGATAAATCCACCAGATCTTTAAAAGGTACAGTACATGACAAAGGTAAAAAGGCTATTATGACGTGCACGGACCTGGGGACAATTCGGGAAATACGGGCTGATTTCAGCTTTGAGCGTTAATCTCTGCCTTATTTAAAAAGCTAGCTATGTGGTTTATATATCATTTTGCAGTATTTTTTATTCGCATTTCAGTGAAATTTTTTTTCTTCAAAATTTTGATGGGATCCAACATATTTTTAAAGTTAAACATATCCCAAAATCGTCAAATACGCTGTAAGACGTAACACTTTACACTTACAGGGCTCGTTGAAATTGGGATAACTTTTGAAATAATGATCAAAATCCCACTATAATTTCACAATTTATTCAATGGAACATGTTCATTTATGAGGTCACAATTGCTTAACGGCTACAGTTCAAATTATCATGTATGAACGCTTTTAAAATATTAAAATTTGTGTAAGGTTTTGAAGGAGAATGGGACGAGCAATAAGTTTACCTTCATTTAACCTTCTAATTCAAGTCTGATTTGAAAGAAAAATTAACTGCAAAATATTGTTATAGCGAAATTTACAAAACAATAACCAGTTTGTTTATTTTGCAAATAATATTAAAATAAGAGCTGGTTTTCGAAATTTGAAAAAAATGTGACGCATCGATTTTCTACCACAAATTCCATACATATCAATTTTACCAACGCCCTAAGTGGATTTCTTGACCGTTTTCCAAAATTCAAAAACATTTTAGAAATATTGTCCTCGAGATCTTGCTACCCTGTAAATTTTGTCATGATTAGATAAGGATAAAGTATTTTATTTTTAGGTTGACTAAACTTGACAAAAATGTGACGCATGTCGTTTTTGACGTTGTAAGGCTGTTTGCGCCCTATGCTGCTCATTGTTTTGTCTTTTTTTTTTTTGACGCCATAATGTTACGCTAATTGTCCCCAGTTGTGCGACGTGTATATATATTTACTTATAACTATATGTATTACATACCTAGCGAAGCATTTGTATGGAAGTCAATGGGAAAGTTAGCGAGCTATATCCACCGATATTGCCCGATTACCCCGATATAGCCCGCTTACCTCGTTTTGATATTAGATTTCTTTAATAACCATGATAATATCATGACGTCACGTCATTGATACAAAGTAACCATGGGAACAAAGGCATGTAATACATCAGTTATGTCACTATGACGTGAAATATGCCTTCGTTCTTGCCCAAATATAGAGCCTCCCAAGGTCGGCCTATATTGGGAGAACTCAGGCATATTTCACGTCATAGTGACATAACCTCTAAATATATACCAGGGTCAGTAATTGATTGAGTTCATTGTATTCACTTTTTTGTTTCAAATAATGTCAAATCTGCTTTCTTTTGTTTGTACTACATGTATGGTGTCATGATTTATGATCTCCTTTGTAAATTACCTGCAAATTATACTATTAAGAGATTATCCCATTATTTCGACATTATTATAACTATTAGTCATATGATCAAAATTATGTATCTGATTGGCTCTGCTGCGTACCCAAATGGATATGACAAGGTGGGTCTAAATTTTTTTCCTCATTTTGCACTTATAACAATGTGGTACTGAAGGAGATGAGATCCATTGAAATGGACTTCAGAATTGAATTCCTCGTGAAGAATTTAGAAAGATACCGTACTCATCTCAAAACCTGTAAAAAGTGAGTTATAACATGATGTGGAAATAATGGGACAATATCTGTATTTGATTTGTTGAGATACTGAGCAATATATTAAGCGCAGATATATTCTTATTTAAATGATATGAAACAACAAAAAGTGTTTGGAGCTGTAGAAAGTAAATTGTATCATTACACGTAATGTTACATAACATTACATAACCTAGAGTAACATACGATTACACAACAAAAGTAATCAGAAAACAAAACTTCCATACAAAGGAATCCTTTCCAACACTAAACTAATCTACCCTACCCTAAAGAACAAAACTACCCTCAAATGCACGTAAATTAAAGCAAATGGAAAAGGAGGGTGGGAAGCTTTGCACAAATTGCCATCATAAAACTTAGCTTTATATTTGCTCTGGTTGCAAGAACCTCTTGGACTGAACTGAGAACAGACAGCCAGAATTGAAGCATATGGTCTGTAATAAATCTGTCATCATTGGTCATTGGGTTATCAGAAGTCAGGCACCTGTTTCAATTATTTCAAAAGAGATACTGGCATGTCTCAGTATTAAAATAGAATACACAGGAGAAAGGGTGGGGGATACTGAGTAAAAAACAAAATATCAATTGAATTAACACGTTTCCAAAAATAAAAGACCACGTGCAATATGGCAAGTGAATTTAGACGGTCATATCTTTCACCATGAGTACTTTCTGGGTATAAATACATTGTTTTTTATTAAAACAATATGTTTTCTTTCAAGTGAAGTACCCATGATGATAAAAATAGCAATCAAACAATTCGAAAAATTATGAATAGGGACCCTATGTCAACATTTTTTCAAAATATTGAACCTATTTACTCAAAAGAGGATCTCCCTTTTCTGATTTTTATTGCATGAAGAGATTATTAGTTATAATATTATAATATTATATTATTAGAAAATGTTAATTTTTAAAATGGCCAGGTTTAGATTAGCAAACCATAATTTAAGAATTGAAACAGGGAGACACGAGAAAAAGAAAAAAGATGGCACTAAACAGCATCGACTTGAATTAAATGAAAGAATTTGTCAGATTTGCAATAAGGGGGAAGTAGAGGATGAAAAGCATTTTCTTCTTGTGTGTGATGGCTATAAAAAATGTAGATTTGAATTTTTTAATAAACTAAGTTTTATTGACACATTTGATAATATGTCGGATAAAGAAAAATATAACTTTTTGATGACTTCTGATGATTTTGAAATTGTTAACGAATTGATACATTTTATAAATAAACTTTTTAATCAGCGTCGGGAGCTATTTGAAAAAGGAAAGATTGTATGATGGTATTTGTGAAACAATGCATGTCGTTTTTTTAACTGTATAATTATATGTAAATGTCTTGTAATTGATTTTGTGAGGAAACCAAGTGTTTGGTTTGAAACACAATAAAATCTTGAATCTTGAATCTTATTAGGGGTCTAATACGCATCCTTCTTTCAGAAATTGTTAATATAGCGTAGAAAAAACTTTTGATATGTTTAAATTGAGAAAAGCAAGATCGTTTTTTAGAAAATAAACCTGACATTTTTATAAAGTGCCAGGGTGGGCCCCTTATCCATAATTTTTCAGAGAATTGGATTGATATTTTTCTATCATGGGGACTTCACTTGAAAGAAAACATATTGTTTTAATAAAAACCATGATTGTTTTCAGGGCCAGAAAGTACTCATGGTGAAAGATATGACTGTCTAAAATCACTTGCCATACTGCACATGGACCTTTCTAGTTCTTTTTTAAATACAGTATATAAACATTATGAATGCTTTCAATTTGTTATTTAATAACTTTCATGTGATGCGTTCCAATGCTCGGGTACTGAAGATAATCGGATAAATGGTAATCGGACGACTCATCCCTAGACAACTGATCCCCTAGATAACGATCCCTCGACAACTACAATATAAATGTCAATCCCTGTGAACATCCAATTATCTTCTATATGGTGTAATAAATTTAACAACTATTATGATGTAAGATTGCGATTTTATTCTAAAGACCACTATAATTAGTGCTAGCTATTTCTGATTTTATCTCTTGGAGCTGATGGCTACATCAAAATAAATTAATTAGCCTATGTACAATTCCGATGATTTTTTCAGAATACATTTGTTATATCTCTAGCTCCACCTATGGAGAATGTGAACATCCTACTAGATGCCTTTAGAAATGTTTCAAAGAACTTAAATGTGGAGACCTCTTGTACCCCCCCCCCCTCAGGCATTCCAGGGTTAATCCTCCATTTACATAGTACATGTACATATTACTTATATATTTGACAGGGTTTGGTATTAACGATTAATTATCCGACATTTCCTGATCTTTGCGAGAGGATTGGCAGTAGCGTCGAAGAGTTGACTAGAGCTACAGCGGTGAGGCATATTGGATATATAATTGGGTGTTTACTTGGAGGTGAGTCAAGGTACCACATGTTTATAGAACCTTCAATGAATATCCGTGTCTATGTTTGTCAAGCTAGCTTTTTAAGACCTATCCTTACATTGTTTCATACATTAAATTGAAAATTGTCCCTTTACAAATGTAGTTTAAAGAACATTTAGTTAAATCTGAATCTGAACTGTCGGGCGAATGTTTGGCATATATTCAATCTTAATTGACACATATCGTATTTGAAGTGTATCCATCGTAAATTTTTGATTTTTCTATAGGTATCCTGTTCGATCGATTCCGGAAATTTTGGGATCTTCAGTTATCTTCGGGATTTTTGCTGTTGGCAATTTCTGTTGCTTTCAAGCCCTGGTGTAGAGGTATCGTATCCCTCGCATTTCTTTACTGGCTTGAAGGTTTCTCCCATGGTCTATTTGCAATAGGTAATTGATAAGTCAACATATCAACGGTTATTACCTGGAACCGCCACCTAAAAAGGGGCCGGGGTAAGAGGAAGGAAACCTCCAGAGTTCAAAGATGACCAAAACTACAATGGAAATAAAAATCATCGTCGATTGGTAAAATGATCAGAACAAATTGGCGGATTCAATATTTTGTAAAATCTCTCCAAAGAATGAAATGTTAATTTCTGGCGTAATTACCAATATTAAAGCTTGATATTTCACGTGCATTTGTTTTCCAGCTGGCAATGGGATGATGATAGCCATATGGGGAGGAAATACACCGGCCCCACTACAGGCCATGCACTTTGGGAGTAGGATCGGGTCGTTGGCAGCGCCTGCTCTGGCGTATCCTTTCCTCAGCGCTACCCGTGGGGAAGCTCTCTACGCCAATGCAACCGTACCTAACAACAACGGGACTGAACTCACGTTTGCATCCAACATCGAGGTACCATATGTGATAATTGGAGGATTAGGCGCATTAGCATCACTTGGGTTTTTGGTGGTGTATTTAGCACCACGGCCCCGAGGACTGGTATTCACGAATATACCTAAAGGAAGGAATTTAAAGGAATTATTACATCCGGGTTCTTTTACCAATGGAAATTCGAGATACGGTGTAATCTTGATGACGTGTATGTTCCTGTACTTCTCAATCATCGCGGCATGTAGTTCACATTTTCTATTACTACAAGCTTCAATAGCCACCGAGACCTTAAATGCAACAAAACAGGAGGCTTCACTTATGCAGTTTGCCGCAAGAGGATCTGCTATTTTAGGAAATTTTATAGTAATTCCAGTCTCAAAGTTTGTTCCAATGCCGTTTATCGTGTTCGTGATATGCCATGCTATCGCTATAATCAACTTCATTGCAGTTGCACTGGCGTTAAAAAGTCGTATGAACTTTGCGATTCTCGGTGGTGTCTTTGATTTCTTTTTTGCCTCAATATGGGCGTCTGGGATGGCATGGCCAGAGAGGTACATGGAGGTGACTGGGTCAGTCATTATGATATGTAATATAGGGAGTGGCGTAGGAGGTTCTATATTGGAATGGGGTAGTGGTTTTGTATTGCAGTATCATGGGGCACAGTCAGTGATGTGGCTCTGTGCAGCGTTTGCTACTGCCTTGTGTTTATTGACAAATGTCACACAATGTGTGATGTCTTACCATGGACCAAAGAAAAGACAGCTAGTCCCTATAGACATTGATTGATATAAATGTTTTGATTTAGAACTTATTTAGTGCATCAAAACAAAATTGGTATGTACAAATACTCAAATATAAATAGGGGTCTTATTGAGCCGAGTCGACTTTTCATGGACCAATTATCATCTAATATCCAGAAATTGGGCTATATAGAGAGGCTGTAGCTATACTTGTGCAAAATAGAGCCTCAAAGTGCGCCCCTTGGTGATTGCTGAATTACCTCTTCTGTACTAAGGTTCCAATACCCCCTTGAAAGGCTGAGAGTGTCAGCTTTAAGAATCTAACCTCCATTCAAATTTTTACTAAATGCACAATTAGATATTAACCCTTTCATCACCGAGAGGTTTAAGAATGAGAATTCGAACATCACGCCTTCTATAAACTGTGAACAAAGTCATTGCGTAATTCACTAGCACCGCGGGCATACAAAAATAAAGTGCTAGTCTTAAAACAGCGTGTCTGTGTGTCAGGTCTATTACTTTTCATCATTGGCAAAAGGAAAATTCGTGTTACCATCCCCCAGGCGGTGGAAGATATGGCTGGATTGTGTCGTTCACACCCAATGGAACATTAAAGATTATCATATTACGGAGTTACTTATATCATATTATCCCATGGTTGCAAGGATATAGATCGAATGAATGATCAGATAAAGATATATTTGATATGTGGATGAAGATCATATTTTAGCAAAATATTCTTACACCAAAACTTTTTTTCGCTGACGTGATGATTTCCCATCGGATAAACTGGCAATCCTATGGGTTTTCAAAAATATCAATTATATCAACTGATGGATATCAATATCTTCACTCATACACTGTGCTCACTCATGAATATGTCAATATTCACTCATGGATATAAACGGTATTTTTCAAAACCATAGGATATTCCTAGCCTGATGTGGCACAAATATCAAAGCCTAATGTCAACTACTAAATGGATCAATTCGACCATGGGGTTTCAATAGATCTCTTGAAAGCCCATAATTCGACGAAAATACTACAAATATCGAAACCGACACGTCCGTCCGCCATCTTGAATGTGAAGGCCTTATAAAGTGCGGGTGACTCGTTCGCTTTGACTCGAGGTTAGCTGTGTGTTATCTTGATAAGACCTCATACTAAAATACAAACAGCTGTTTTCTGGGTACAAAAAAATAATGTAATTTACTTTCATCAATCTACGGTTTTAGCAAATTGAAAATATACGATTAAAAAGAGAAAATAATGAATCACTTTTTCTTACTATTTCTCCTTTTATGGACAACGACAGATGCTCAGATGACTAGAAGACTTGGTAATACATCATATATTTAAAGGATCACAAGTGCAACCAATAATTTTGAAAAATGTGATTTTTCTCCGATCCTCAACAACGGCGCCCGGCAGATGAGTATTTATTTTATTAAAGTCTTGATGCAATTTTGAACAAAATACTAATCGGCAGGGCGCCGGTGTTGAAAATCGGAGCAAATTTGACAAGGGAGGATATTGAAAAAGTACCTTTTACTTAAAATTACATTTTGATTTTTCCTAAGTGAGATAGTGGTGAGTTTGTTCATGGGCAAAGCCCATAGTTTGTTCCAAGAATATTGCTAAGCTGTTCAATATACTGTTTACAGTTAACAGTATGTTTCAGAGGGGTACAATATAGACCGGAATCAGATATCTGTGGCTGGGCTCAGTTCAGGAGCAGCTTTCGCCCATCAGATGCATGTTATTCACTCAGCAACATTTATCGGAGCGGGCATATTTGCTGGCAGTAAGTGGAATACTGTACTCTTATTTTGAAATTAATTATAAACAACACGCTACATACGTATGTGACACTTTAAGGCTACTCATTATAGAAAATTCACACATAGCTAGGCAAGGTGTGTCCGATTCCAGCCAATCCGAACAGAGTATTCCCATCATGAACCGTGTGTGAAGTATCAATAACGCATTTTGTTGTGTACAGTTGCTACAGCGCTGGTTGCTGAGCGATTGAGATTGAAATTGAGTTTTCCAATACTTGACCCTTGCAAAAGGTTTCATTGAAAATATGTTCCTTTAGTGATTTTGTATCTTTTAGGTGATTTTATAGAAAATATTTTGCAATGTGTGAAAATAATTTAAGCCCTAGACACAATGCATAGTGGCTGCTTCAACATCCAGAATTGGAAACAATATATCTTCGTGGAATGGTTCAGCACACAATTGCACTGTATCCAAGGCTTAAATCCTTTAGCAGCGTGTAACAATGTGGTGTATTATAACTGCCACTCTAGCAAGAAAAAAATACTTGAAAAATCTTGATGACGTGTATGTTCCTGTACTTCTCAATCAACGGGGCGTGTAGTTCACATTTTCAATTACTACAAGCTTCAATAGCCACCGAGACCTTAAATGCAACAAAACAGGAGGCTTCACTCATGCAGTTTGCCGCAAGAGGATCTGCGATTTTAGGAAATTTTATAGTAATTCCAGTCTCAAAGTTTGTTCCAATGCCGTTTATCGTGTTCGTACAATGCCATGCTATCGCCATAATCAACTTCATTGCAGTTGCACTGGCTTTAAAAAGTCGTATGAACTTTGCGGTTCTCGGTGGTGTCTTTGATTTCTTCTTTGCCTCAATATGGGCGTCTGGAATGGCATGGCCGGAGAGGTACATTGATGTGACTGGTTCAGCCATTATATGGAACATTGGGTGTGTCCTTGGAAACGCTATAATGGAATGGGGTAGTGGTTACATATTGCAGTATCATGGGGCGCAGTCAGTAATGTGGCTCTGCGCAGCGTTTGCTATTTCCTTGTGTTTGTTGATATACTTCACACAATGTGTGATGTCTAACCATGGACCAAAGAAAAGGCCCAAGGTCCAATATTTCACTATATTGCCCGCAGAAATGACGTTATTAGTATTATTAGTACCACCGTTAACGACCAGGACTGAAACAGCAAGAAAATCTTACGCACTGAACGATGTCTAGTTTCCCGGGGAAAATTGCCGGTCGTTAAATGCATTCTCGACCGGTCTGAAATGCATTCTTGACCATCACTATGATGTCACATATTGCTCAGGTCGATATAGTAAAATGAACGCCTTCTAAACTAGCACTAAACCCCCTAGAACTGGCCCGGCAAGGTGGTAATAATATCTATTAATTCTGTACGTCTTTTGAATTAACAATATGTAGATAGATATATCAAAAGATTGTGAATTAACCCCATTATCCCTGCCCAATAACCAGGAGGAGGGGGGTTGAGGTTCAAACCAACCTCTCCCTGTGGCCAAAAATTCTTTCAAAATCATAGTCTTTCACCATTTGAGCACTTTTCGAGAGATTTTTGGTCAAAGTTGTGAGATGTGACCCCCCCCCCCCCCCTGACGACCCATTCATGAGTCATAACAAGGGACAAATCTGTTTTACCTTCAATGTAAAGGGCGTTATGTGTTATTCATTTTACATGTGTAATATAAGGTCAAGATAATGCGAAGGTCAGGCTCCTTTAACGGAGCCTTTAATTTTTTTGTTTTCCATCTCAATCGTGCAATAATTGCAGGGTTCGTACACCTTTTTCAAAATGAAATTCCCTGACATTTCCCTGACATTTCCAGGCAGAAAAGTAAATTTCCAGATCAATTTTTGCTTGTATCGCCTCCGAAAAATCTCAATAATTGAATCATTTAGAGGTCAAGACCTATTATGAAACCTTACTTTAGTACCATTTCTTATGACTTAACCTTACTTCTACAAGCCGTCTTATTCACCCATTTATTCCTGATACATTATATTTTCAATTTTACATATTTTATGTTGCATAATATTTTTTATTTTTTCGATTTTTTAGGGGTTTGCATTACCAAAAGTGAAGTGAAACCAAAGAGGGGGGGTCAAGGGGGGGAGGTCACCCCCGGAATTTTTTTAAAATTTACATTGTATATGGTGCTTTCTAAGCATTTCAAACAATGATTTGTGAATGTTTTGTTATGAATCCAAATCACAACTGAAACTTAAATGATGATCAAAAATCATACTAGAAAAATAGCAACTCCCTTGAGGGGCAATTCACACCTTTTTTGTTGAATACTGATCTGTGTGAATATTATATGTAAAGCAATTACCTGGCATTACTATTGTTTTCTCCCTTTTGGGAAAATCTACACCAAAACATGATACCATGATATTAAAAATTCCTTCTCAAGTAGCGTCACTATAAGGCACAGGCATATGATACCAAATCAAATAATCGGTTTTTGTGTTAGCAACAACCATTTTG